AAACGTGCCTATGAGCGAACGTCGCTCGTGTTTTGTATTTTGGCAAACGTGCCTATGAGCGAACGTCGCTCGTGCTTTGTATTTTGGCAAACGTGCCTATGAGCGAACGTCGCTCGTGTTTTGTATTTTGGCAAACGTGCCTATGAGCGAACGTCGCTCGTGTTTTGTAGTTTGGCAAACGTTGCCTATAAGCAAATGTTGCTTATTTTATTGTTTATAAAGGAATATCGCTTATGTTTAAGATACCCTACTAATTGATTATGTTTTTTTTATTACGTAAGACTAGGAACCAAGCTAGAATAGTCAAATTATTGTAGTTTTGAAAGATTTAAGTTACGTTTAAATTTCACCATTAGGTCTGAGGACAGACCAATAGTCAGGATGGCCGAGTGTTGGAATATTTATATTATTACGTCATATCCGACAAGACCCCGTAACAAAGAGGCGCCGCCTTGTTTTTTTTGCCGATCGTAAAATGTATCGGCGTCTCAGGCAAAAAGGACAGGGTGGGCAAGCTGCGGTGAGGAGATAATTAGGGTATTATTATGCGATGTTTTTGGGGGTTTACGATGAGTTAGTGAAGACGTAGTTGTCGAACGGAGAGGATTAAACTCGATTCTGCTTCATTACGTGGTTTTATTTTTGATGATCCTTACAATTGAGAGAATGAAAAAACGGGAAGTGTAGTGTTATCGCAGAATATAGTAGAATAATATTTGACTACATTAAAGACAAGAATTAATTTAACAAACAATAAAATATAAGAAGCAATACAAATTTAGGGATTTTTTGAAGTTTTGAAGATTCAGCCTCCTCATTCTGTCGGCGAAACAATTCTTTTCACACTTACATAATCTAAATTTTGGAATTTCTACGTGCGTAATGTGATGTGAGAGTCGTGGCATCCACGAAATTTACTGTGGCCACAATAAAACTGCCATGGGTATGATTGTATCATGTATCATGAGGAATTCAATGAAAGGTTTTCGATGGGTCACACAGAGTTAAAACGCTGTGTTCACCTCCTTCGATACCTCCCAGCACTCCCTGTACAACCTTAAATGTTGCCTTAGTAGTTGATAATTCTCTCCGAAAACTCTCTCTCAGGTGATCCTCCAGTATACCCTCAACAGTTTTCTTCTTTTGTACCTTGATTAAGATGAGATGATATGAGCAGGCATATTCGGTTAATTTTGTAACATATTTCGGTAGAAATCGACCGTGCTCGGGTCGGGTTAACAACTCTTTTCATTAGCACATAATAACTAACTAATTTGAATATTACGCAAAACGTAACGGCGCAAGAATTACGTGGCCCTCCCCGTTTATGTCTTAAGCATTTAGACGAGAGTTTCGTTTTGTCGCAGGCACACGGCACTTACGTTAAAAGAAGCTCACACCGCAAATCGAATGAATTATGTTGATCAACTTACATACGACACATGACATAGAATATTAGAATGGAAAACTCGATCTATGAATTATTGTTGAACCTTTTCTTGCAATTAGCAACTTTTTGATTGTCACACTGCACAACTTAAAACTTAGGATGGGATTAGCCAATTTACTATTCGTAATCTGAAATATATTGTTTTAATATACCTAGAATTTGTTCAAAAAGTAAACACAACAAAAAGTAGGGTTAAGCTGAACACAAAATAGTCAAATTCTTATGGTTAACAACTAATTAAAAACACGAACTTCGCTTATCCCTGCTCAAATTCAAATATACTGCACAGACAAAACTAAGCCGCCTAGACATAACCATAGAACGGAAACTCATCGGCATTCTTCTTCTTTAAAACCAGTCGGCCCGAGTCAAACGTATTTGACCATCAAAACTTCTAAACATCGACTAGCGTTATGTCAATCGCGATTGATTCGGTCACTTTGATTCAATTACTTCATAGGAACGAACGACCGAATGCCGCTTGTTCGTAACGATTCGATCACCTTGTTCGCTCTCGCTGAATTTTGAATGAAATATCTATTTCCACACATGTATTTAATTTAAACGAGTTAATGTATTACTGGTACAACCCGTAGCACCTATTTTGATAAAATCATAATGCAATAAAAAGCAAAACACAGCTAAATATTATACTAACTAAAACAGCAAAGAGAACATACACACACAACAATAATTTAAATTCAAATGAATCTGAATCGGTCGTTCGAACTGTTCGGCTTATGTCGGCAACAAAAAGTATTGAAATGAAAGATTGATTGAAATGATTCGGTCCTTTTCGAAGTGGGTCACTGATTGATTCGGTCTTCGTAAAATGAACGATTGACCCAACACTAACATCGACAATTACGTCCACTGATCTTTCAATCTCTCAATTTCAACGTTGCCGCGTTTTTCTCCGCCTAGGCGAATAAACGCGCGGTACGTTCTCGCGCCGCTTTTAAGTCTACCGCCTCGTTCATGTAAGAAAAAAAAACCGCATTCCACAATCGACGAATTGACAATTCCCCGTCCACAACTTCGTCGACGGAGGCAAAAAAAGTATAATTAGACACAAGGCCGCTTTTTGCGCTGGTCGGCCCCCTCCTCAACGTGACGCTGGTAACACTTTTTTTTCCTTTACAAAACTGACCATTTGCATATTTATGGGCGTGGACAACTAACTACTTGTCCGCTGTCGGTTCGGATTGTTGCCGCGGCTGCGAGCCGAATTGTGTACGATTTACGATTTAACAAATAAAGTTTTTCCACATCTTGGAAGAACGATCTTCGGCAAAACTAAATACAAATCGGTCGCGAATAGATTTTAGACAATGCGACCTCTGCAATATGGCGGTGAAACGACAATCGGTGAGTCAGCACAAAAAAGAACAAAAGCCGGTCGCTGTAGGGTCGTATGATGATTTGATTGAGGTATATAACACTGAAAAAGTGGAATTTAAAAAAACAGTATTCGCGAAAACGTGTAAATAGTTTAGCAGTTACGAGTCTCAAACATTTGTGTTATTTTTTGTTTTTTTTTTATAGGATGATATTTACGTAATCATTTAGTGTATATTTAATAATTTTAAAGGCTTGTGTTTCGGGTGTTACTATCTTATTTAATTTCCCGACCTGACATAGATGCAGCTCCAGTATCACGATAAAACTTTGTCTTCTTTTAAATCTTAGTAGGCTGCGAAAAAAAATTGGAGTCTTGCGTCAAATAGTTTTTATTGACAGCATTTTAAACAAGACGAAAATATGTCGCAAGTAACGCGAATTGAGTATAGAGCAGTCATAAAGTTTTTGACAAAAAATTATTAAAGGCTGAATGGTGTGTACCGCCAAAGTTCTCCTTCGTATTCTGTAGTGAAAGAATGGGCAAAAAGTTTGCGAATGGGGCAGGAGTTTCCTGAAGATGATTCAAGAACTGGTCGACCAGGGGACGTCATAACGGAAGATATTGTTACGATTGTGGAAGAGGTGATATTGAGTGATCGACGTTTAAAGGTTAAGGAAATCTCAGAAATTACCAAGCTTTCTGATACAAGTGTTCGTCGAATCCTGTATGATCATTTAGGTATACATAAGGTTAGTGCAAAAACCTTTCGGCTATTCAAAAACAACGCCGTGTCGAGTGTGCGCGGTCTTTTTTGGAACTCTGTGGGTCGGAACCGAAGCCTGTGATAGAAACTATTGTGACAGGAGGTGAAACTATGGTTCTCTATTATGACCCTTTATCGAAAAAAGAATCAATGGAGTGGCGTCGTAAGGATGAAGCACCTCCAAGAAAATTCAGAGTCTGCCAGTCAACAAAAAAGGTGATGATCACGATCTTTTGGGATTGTACAGGAATTCTTTTGACAGATTTTAAAGAAACTATCGTAAATGGTAAATATTGCGCAACATTTGTTGCATACGTCTAGAATGTCGAGAAAACTTGACCAGAGGCGTGCGTCTTTTGCACGATAAGGCACCTGTCCATACTGCTCATGTTGCAGAAGCTGCCATATTAGAATGTGGGTTCCAACAGATAGATTATCCTCCCTATAGTCCAGAAATGGCCCCCACCGATTATTTGTTTGGATATTTGAAAAAGGACTTACGTGGACGGCGGTTTAACGACGAAGTTGAATTAAAAAAGGCTGTTTTAGCTCATTTTGCAGACACACCAAAAGAATATATTTTTAAACGGATTGAGTTGTTAATAAAGAGATGTAATAAGTGTATTGAAGTTAAGGGGGATTATATTGAAAAAGAATAAAAAAATTGTTACTCTACTTTGTTTCTTTCATACTCAGGCCGGGAAATTTTGGCGCTGCCCTCGTATGTGATAAGGGGAATTGTAAGAATTGACAAAAACTTGCAATTGTCTCAGTGCCACCAGCGGAGGCCTTGCGGAAAAAACGAATTCAAGCAATAAAATGGGAAGATTTGTCTGTTCCATCAAAAAACTTAATGTGAGTCTTACTGAAACAGTTTTCTATAAGAGTACCTTTAGAGCCTAAGTACTAGAAGACGGGCTGGCGAGTTAAAAACTTCATAATTCTATTCATTTTGTCTGTTGTCTGTCCGTTCCAACAAAGCAAGCAAGGACATCGTCCGCGTATCTATACCACCATAGAAAACTTTTACTTATAGGATGTTCTAGTATGATATTTTCCGAATTATCCATAAATATCTCGACTAAGTGGGTTTTTCCCATAATCAAACCTTAGAGATGTAAATCTGTGCATTAAATTCAAAATAATTTTGGTCTAAAGATACTATTAAGCAATATAATAAATCTAGTTTCACCAATGGGTTAACCCGTTTCCGGGGTTGTTTTTGCCTTCTGTTAACCTAATATCTACCGCAGGTGCAGTACCCTCTGTTTACCCTCACTGCTAAAGAATAACATTTAAATAAAGCAATTAAAACATACATATTTCAATTAAGAATATGATTCAACCAGACACATCGTATCCTTAATGAGATGACTCATAGTTTGAAGTTTCACGGCCGTGTGTGATGTTCGCTGGCCAAGTGAAACAATAAGAAGACAACTCACCTGAACGGGACTGTGGGTGGGCGAGAATTGCTGCGTCGGCGATACCGACACAGACACGCTGGAATAGCTGCAGCAGCTAGAATGCGACGCGTCTGAATTGTTGCGGCTGAGGTTAGGCGTAAGGTTAACGTGACGCTGAGTGAGCGGACTCTGATTGGGCGAGCTGAACACGCTGTAAGCCGAGTGGACGGCCGAGTCGGGGCTCGGCGTCGCCGGCACGTTCAACGCTTTCTGCATGAGATCCTTGGGGCCGATCATCGGCGCCCCGGTGACCGGATGGCGCTGGCTCAGTAACGGCGAGTTCGACGGGGTACTGTGCAGCGAGTAACTGCCCATCGGGGGCTGTTTCAGTCGCAGGATCGGGCTCTCCTTCAGGTCGACCATGGAGCCGTGTTTCGGCGCGGCCGATATCGACAGGTTCTCGGGCAAATGCGGACCGCCGCTGTTCTCGTCCACGCACATCCCTGCGGACGAGAAAGAAAATTCGTCTTCTTAAACCAACCGCTAATGCTATATGTGTTTTTTTTATACTGGTCTGCAAATAAAAATTTTTTTCTCTCCTTGTTTTCATGCATGAATTCATCTTATTTTATGCTCTAAACACGGAATCTGATATACAAATAAGTACCACACGTAGGTTTTTAATTTAATATTTATTTCATCAAAAAACAATATTATTAAAGTATAAATTATTATAAGAAAATAAAAAAATGTGGCGGCTTGAGTTTTACAGTAAAAAATCCTAAATTATATTAAAAAAACTCGATTGAGATTGTAGACCTGAAATATTTTTATTTTCAGCCTCCCCATTAACTGGTGGAACTGGAGGTGGAGTGTCTTTATCACGAATAATTGGTCTCTTTGCAGATAGGACGTTCGGATAAACAATCTTATCTCTATTTTTTTTCGAGTATCCTCGTGTAGATGTCATGCAGAAATAACAATCATTCCCATGATTTTGAGGCTCACTCCAAATCATTGGCAATGAAAACGGCATGGATTTGTGACTTTCTTCAAGCCAACCTCTCAACGTTCTTGTGCAGCTATTGCAGCATACTTTTGGCAACCAGCTTTTATCTCGGTCATCGATAGAAAATCCAAAATATAGCTTATAAGCTGTTTTAACGAGATCGGTCGTGACATGTCGCTGTGGTTTTAGTATGTATTCCTCACATATGTAGCAAAAACAATCTGGCTCTACTTAAAAAAAATACTCAAACTACACATCAAATACTTAAATCCAATATAGAGAACATGAACTTTATGCAAAACTTACCAAAATATTTGATATAAAAGGTAAACAATTAAACGACAAGTTTTCACTCAACTGTTGTAGTGTCACAATGAATACTGCGCATGCGGGTATTTATTACCATAAAAATCACCTTCGGTACTTCCCTCCTTTCTCTTAAAACTCTCTGAAACTCATTTTGTATGTATATTTACTTTTTGTAACGCTGATGAATGAAAAAATTTATTATTATAATATTATTATTATATTACAATAATTATTACTAAGGAAGGAGATCAAGATCCGTATGACAGTTAATACCGTAAGACACACCAATGAGTGTTTCCGATGATGTTTTTGGTGCTTTAAGTTTTTTAGATTTGAAGAAGCTGTTCCCTACGTTAATTTTAATGCTTTAATTACTGTTAGAAGACATACACATGGATAACTGTGCGTCATATGGAAATTCCGAAACTACTTTTCACAAGGAAATTTTTGGAAAATGTTCGCTTACCCACTTGTAACCAACTTCAAATAACATCGCAAAGATTGACGTAAATTTTGCACCGTTACAATAATAATTATGCCATAACAAACTTATTATGTTGCCCATATTATGCAAGTTTTATATATATTTTAGTCACGAATTTAGTAAACAACTACCATCATTACCAAACTTAAAAGTCAGATGTCAAATCCTGTAATCATTTCCACAGGCCACTAAGGGACCTGAACAAATAAGACCCCATATGCACGAACCATTCCGAACAACGGTCACCGCCTCCTTTATTTATCGGTTATTTAAAAAATATAACTCCGAAAGCTTTCGAAAAATATCAAGTATTACATTTTGTGTAGGACGGAAGGAAAAAAAAAACGAATCGACAATGAAAAAAGAATAAAAGGCGACGCCCACCTTCCCGTTCGCCGTCGCTCAGTTCCCCCTCCCAGCTCATCGGTCTAGGCATCTCCTCCCTCTTCGTCTTGTTGCGCATGTTCACCGACTGAAACTCGATACGAGCCACTTCGGCGTCGGTGACGTCGACGTCGGGCGCGCCGTTGGTCACGCCCATCGCTGCGGGATGCGGCGCGCTTCTCGTCCTGGGCGGTTCCGCGACGCCATTCGTCAGCTGCGGCGGCGTGGGCGTGTACGGTTCCATGTTGATAGGCGTGATCGAGACGTTCGGCGACCGCATGTCGGTCGCCATACCCGCCGATCGGATGATCACCGACGATCACCTGCCGTCGACGGCGGGCGGGTCATGTTTCCGATCTGACGGCGGCAATTTCAACGAAACGTCGTCGGCACTGCGATAAAGAAAAGACGCACAATCATAAGAATAATAATAATAATAGCACTACAGGTAACATGCCCCAATTACAGGAAATATTAATCTACTACCATAATAAAACAAATTGGATTGTTTTATTAGTCATATATATATATATATATATATATATATATATATATATATATATATATATATATATATATATATATATATATATATATATGACTAATAAAACAATACAATTTGTTTTATTATGGTAGTAGATTAACAAAAACTTACTTTCAATATGTATTTCCACTAAAAAAAAAAGAAATAATTGATTTTATATTCATGAGAAAGTGATCAAAATTTGCATTGTACTGGAAACCATTGTGAGGTACAAAAGAGAACATCTCAAATAAAATCCTCCACAGTGGTCAGGATCGTGCCATCCATATTGTAATTGAAGACTGTAGGAGTTTTTGTGCGGTGGCAAGAAACCACATTACCCTTGCGAAATACAAAAGCAGCATATGTATAATGGTTGGCCAAAGCGACGACATTGTCCGTGTGAGTCAGCAACGGTTTTAAGCGTATTGTTTCACATTTCATATCGGAATTATTATTATTCTCATGGGTTAAGCTCGGCGGCCCCCGCCGGCCGGTCTTGGTTTACCTTGGCGGGTCCCAGGAATGCGCCCGACACCGTATGTACAATTAGTTCGGTATCCATTAAACGTACACGGTGGCGAACACTTCGCGGTATGGCGACCCCGCAAGACAGTGATAAAAATAGTAACTATTTAATTCTCCGATTACCATAAAAAACACAACGTAAAAATATTATCACAAATAAAAAGTAAGACAAAAAATTCATATTTTTCAAGATACAGGGTGTTAAAATTTTCTAAAAAAATTGTTTTTTCTTTTATAACTTTCATATTACTTTCGATATTTTTATCAAATTTGGTGAACATCTTTTGATTATTGAGAGGCGGTTTTGACGCAAAAGCTTTATTTTTAATTTTTACCAGCGACGTCCGCACGGGGTTTGGACTGAATACTTTTAAAGAAAAAAATGGCACGCCACTGCTGACGGATGTATCAAGAAAGATATCTCAACCGTCCGCTACCTAACAGACAACTTTTTGTTGATATTCACTCCAGACTTGGTGAAATGGGTGGTTTTAAGAGGTCTACCGCTCTTATAGACCAAGACAGTAAGAACGGTTCAGATAGAGGAAGCATAAATGCTAATGAAGAAAACCCAAAAACTAGAAACTCAATAATAAACTTCCATAACAATCACGTGTGGACCGATAATGATCCTCATGCCGTAATTGAAAACCATTTTCAAGAGTAAACCTTCGGTGAATACTTACGATTTATTGAACATGTATTACCTGAACTTTGGAGGATGTCTTTAGTTTAGTAGCACGTCAGTTTTTAGGTGAAAATTATACTGATCGCTGGATTGGGCGTGCTGGACCACATTTTAGGCCACCCAGGCCACCTGATTTAAATCCAATAGATTTCTTTCTCTGAGGACGCTTAAAAACATTAGTGTACAATTGTACAATTATTAGGAACAACCCTAGTATTTTAGAAAGGGTTCGCCAGTCCCTAATTAGGCGCAAAAAAGCATGTATCGAAGTTGGGGGAGGTCATTCCCAGCAGTTGTTCTAATTTATTTCTTTCTGGGAGAGTATTGTTTACAGTTATTTAATATTGTTTAATAATAAACGTCTTCCCGTTAGTAGTTAATTTTCAGTCAGTCCAAACAATTACACCAAATTTGATAAAAATATCGAAAGTGATATAAAAGTTATAAAAGAACAAACTAATTTTTTAGAACATTTTAACACCCCGTATCTTGAAAAATATGCATCTTTGGACTTACGTTTATATGAAATTTTTGTCTTTTTTAGCACCCTGTAAACAAATTGGCACCTCGCGAGAAACAAAAGATCGAAACGGAACGTGTCCGAGACGGCGAGGTCAGTATCGCCGGGGTGGTCGGGCATGTAACAACAATACGAAAGTATTTTTTACGAGCGGCCATAAAGACCGGGTTACCACCGTAGCGGTGGTCGGTCTGTAAAAAATTTCACCGGTGTCTGGAACCGTGTGGGCGTGCAATTAGGTTTGCAATCGTATGTATATACCTCAACGGACTGTAACGCAGGAACCAGGTCGTTGACCTTTAGGCGAAAGCGCTATTTCGGTTAAAAAAAAAATAAAAACCGCGTTTGCAAGGGTCCAAGAAAAAGACGATTTCTCGAAAACCCTTTATGGGACCAAAACGATTCTTGCTTTTAAGCTTTTATTAATTTATGATTTATTGTTAATTTGAGTGCGCCGCAAATTAAAAAAAAAACTGAAAAATATATAACCCGCGAAGACAGCTAAATATTTTGTATTTAAGGTTTTCACCTATTATACGGAACAATAATAAGAAATAAACTTGGTATCCTAAAATTGCACATATCAACTTCAAATTTGACAACAGAAGTCCGTACCTACACCCAAACATTAGAAATTGAGTGCAATCAAATTCTGTTAAGCAGTTTTTGGCTAAAAATGGCACGGTTCCTCTGCCCCATGCACCTTACTCGCCTGATCTCGCTCCGTGTGACTACTTCTTATTTCCACATATGAAAAGGGACATGAAACGACATGATTGGACAGGGATGAACTGTCGTCTATAGCCAAAGATGAATATAAATAATGTTTCGAACACTGGAAGCACCGCTGGGACAAATGTATTAGTTGTAATGGAGAGTATTTTGAAGGGGATAAGGTCGTTCTGTGACTTTTAAAATTTTATTTTGTAAGGCAGCCATGATTTAGTAAAATTCATCGTCACAAAATTTATTTATTTGTATTCTTGTATTATTGTATTATTGCATTTTATTTATTTAGACTGATATTGAAATAGAACAGATTACCTTAAGCAAAATCAGAAATCCTCAAAAATTGATTTTTTATTCTCGGCTCGAATTTTACCTGTAAATGTGATTTTACCTATATATATATATATATATATATATATATATATATATATATATATATATATATATATATATATATATATATATATATATATATATATATATATATATATATATATATATATATATATATATATATATATATATATATATATATATATATATATATGGGGTTTGTTACAGCTCGCGCCGTTTTCCCTCTCTCAACCAGACTCTCCATTCATCTTTGTCGTTCCAATCTCCGTCTTCCAACCCCCTTTCCTCCATGGCTTCATCTATTTCATCCCTCCACGATCTTCTGGGTCTTCCTCTCTTTCTACGTCCCATAGGGCTCCACTCTGTGATTTTCTTTATCCACCGTCTATCGTCGTCACTTCGTCTGACATGGCCATACCATTTAAGCTGTTTTTCTGCTATTGTAGTTAATAAGTCTTTTTCTACATTCATTTGCCTCTTGATTTCTGCGTTACGTATTCTATCCATGCGTGTTCGTTGGCAACACCTTCTCCAATATTCCATTTCGACGGCGGTTACTTTAGATTTGTTCTTTTTGTTCAATAGCCAGGTTTCTGCTCCGTATGTAATTATACTTTCTACTATTGTCTTAAATATTGTTGTTTTTGTTTTCTTTGTTAATTTCTTGTTCCATATAATGGAGTTCAGTTGTTTTATACATGTTCTACCCTGACCTAGTCTAGATTTGATTTCTTCTTCTGTTGATCCATCTTTTGTTATTATACACCCTAAGTATTTAAATTTGTCTGTTGCTTTTACGGTTGTGTTTTCATCTATTTCTAAATCTTCGATTTCCCCTTCTTTTGTTGTTAGATATTCTGTCTTTTCCAAGTTTATTTCCAAACCTACCTTCTCATATTCCTCTATTAGCTTTCTGAGCATGTAACTCAAGTCGTCTTCATCCTGGGCTATGACCACCTGGTCGTCGGCAAAGCTTAGGGTGTATAAGTGGTCGTCGCGTACTGGGACTCCCATACCTTGACATTTTCTTTTCCATTGTGTTAGCGTCCTCTCAAGATAGATTTTAAACAACGTTGTTGATGTAGGGCATCCTTGTAGTAGGCCCTTTGATGTTGTGAATCGATTTGTGTACCTATTACCTATTTTGACCGACAACTCGTTGTTCTTGTACATTGTATCTACGGCTTTTATTAGTTCTCTTTCTATCCCAATATCTTCCATTGCTTTCCAAAGTTGTTGTCTGGGTATAGAGTCATAAGCTTTTCTTATATCTATGAATGCTAAATGGATGTCTCTGTTTTTAGCTTTTTTCTTTTCGATAGTCTGCCTTACCGTATATATCTGATTTTACCTAACAGGACTTAATTAAATCTAAAAAAGTCATTATCACAATCCGTTAAAAATTAGTTTCCATTAAAAGAACTCATTATCCAACTGCTACTGTGATCCCCCATCGGGGGCATTCAAATAATGAATATCGCGATATGCATTTTTGCTACGGAAGAGCCAATGGAAATGCAGATCATCTACCATTCATCAACATACACAGAAGATTTGATGAAAGAGGATCATTCAAACTTGATAATTTGAACAAAGGGAAACTAAGCTATAAAAGAACCGCTGCAAGAGAAGAAAGAATACTTCAAAATGTGGAATTTGACGGGTCAAGGAGCACGAGAAAACCTGCCGCTCAGGAAAGAATTGCTTGCTCTACAGATTGTGAGGTTTTGCATGAAAATAATCTTCGGCCCTTTCATGTTCAAGCACTGTGTGAGGGTAATTTTATGCAATCGAATTTTAGGAAAAATTCAAAATTACCCGCAATTCTTAAATGTCATTCAGTCGTGATGGCATTGTAAAGTTTAGAGATATGCATCAGTGGAACATTGAACACCCACATGCAAAAATTGAAGGATCGCTTAATGAGGAAATGTATTTGCAATTTCTCCAAGAGGAGCTACCACCTTTCCTGGTAGAGGTAACCCTTGCAGTGGAGACAAAACATATAGTTAATGCAAGATGGCGCTCCACCCCATTTCGCATTGGCTGTACGAAAGTATTTAATCGATGGACAAGTCGTGGCGGAATCCTAGCTTGGCCGCCTCGCTCATCAGACCTATGTCCGATTGACTTTTTTTCTTGGGCGCACTTAAAGTCTTTACTGTATGAAACACATATAACACATATTAATGATCTACGGCAAATAATAATAAACGGTTGGGAAATCATTAGAAATGAGCTGGGCGTATTGATGAATAAGAAAATATTTAGAAATGAACGGCATTATTAATAATTTTTTATTTTCGAAAATGTTAAATGTTACTAACATATTGCATTGACAATTTTTGAGGATTGGTGATTCTGGTTAAGGTACTCTGTTCTATTTCGCAATATCCGTCTAAATAAATAAAATACAGGGAAAATAAAAAGAATGTTCTAGGTAAAGATCCCGCTATTCTAAGTACTTTTTAGAAACAACGAATTAATAAAAGTAACTTGCTAACTACATAAGAGTTAAACATTAAACGTATCACTCTATCGTTCCAGTCAAACTACTCACTTCGTTTTTAAATACCATGCCGGACACAAGATACACAAAAACTTTGGCGACACAGCAGGAAGGCAACTGAACCTTAAATTGATCCCTCAAAGAGCATGAGGTCGGATATATACAAGGATGCCAGTTCAACCGCAAAGAGGGATGACGTCAGCTAGTACCTTTAAAGAGCTCGCTTGATATTCACGTGTACGGCTCATAGTTATCATACTTACTGTCTAAAACTATATTTCAGTTGGAGTTCAAATTGACCCGTGAATTTTTTTCCTGAATAACTTACTGCAAGTGTTTACCGCTAGGTGGCGTGATAATCGAAGCCAACTATAGCCGTTACTGGCTTTGGCAACGTTGTCTGATGCCAAATGGCTCGGTGAAGTGATCTTTTCGTATATGTTTTTTCAAATTACTTATTTTACATTTGGCGGTTGGCCCGGTGATAAATAAATAAATACATGCACCTCAAACAGCGTGTGTAAGCGCAGAGGCAAGATTGAAAAAAAAACGCGTTGCGTAACACGTAACCGAGAAGCGACCACGCCCATTTCCATTACGACGATGAATTCCGCGAACGGGCGTCGTCGACGGAAAACCGAAAAGGATTAATTTAAATGGGTCGCAAAAAAAAAGAACGCGCGTTCTTTAATTTTAATGAGGAAAAATCTGCTCGGTCACGCACGCGCTCGCACGAAGCTACTATTGTTTAACGTTGAAAAAAAAAAAAAAACGTTGTCGTAAATAAATTAACAAGATTTTATAAAACCCTTTATAAAATGTCTCTCGCGTGTCGCCGAACTTGAAAGTTACGGCAAACTTGGCTAAATTTGGACAAATAACAGAGATTTTTCATGATTTTTATTATTCAAAAGTTATGTCAATTTAATGTCGCGTCTACAGAGCACGGAGAAACAGACACAAAAAAGGTTTTTTTTTCCGATGCTGATTCTCGAAAGAATCTGACGTCCCAGATATTGAATTTGATCATTAAAGAACCACTTAGGAGAGCTTTAAAATAATGTATCACTAAACCACGTGAAAAACGTCGGGAAGATATAAAACTACCCCAATAATCAATAACCAAATATTCGTTATATTTATTTAAATTAAATTAAAATAATTTTTCCCATTGAGTTTAGGGTACGCCGTCGATGACGTCATCACTTCTAGATTGAGCTCGAGGAATACTGATTTTGATATGCATTTTTTCAAATATCCCGAACAGCGTGTGCGATAGACGAAAACGGCAAATACAAAAATTGTAACTCTTCTCTCATATTTTCTACAAATTTTGATTTTCGACAAATAATTTACTCTGCGAAAGAACGATTTTCGGGGTCTTTTCAATTTTTCTCTACAAATTGAAAAACCCCGTATGTAATCGAAAAAATGCTTGAAATACCAGTACCGGATCTTCTATACTAAACAAAAAAAAGAATAAAATTAAAAAATATATACTTCTGTGTGAGTGTGGACTTCTGTGCTAAATTTGAAGTCGACAGCAAACACTTTCTTAATACAGCACGGAATATCTTAAATACAAAAGTCTAAGCTGTCTATAGGGACTATATCGTCGTGTAAGACAAATCAACTTAATAAGTTGGAATTTTACACAGAGCCCTGAGAGAACGAACCTCACTGCGTTAAAAATAAAATTTAAAAAAAAAAAAAAGATTTTTTTTTACATGATTTAATACCATTATTTTACCACGTTGAATCTTTCCTCCAAATTTCAGAACTCAATTTCCAAACACCCTGTATATTATGGAATTATCCACCTAAAGTTGCCAACATAATACTTTGATTTAAATAACCCAAATATTTCCAATGTACCATGAGGAAGAATCCCGAGCGCCCCCCTTTATGCAAAATTCTCTTCCTCTCTTCCTAGGACAATCTAGGACCTCAAACTATGCTTACAATAATCGCAAAAGAATCGATTTTCTAAAGAATCAACGACATATTTTCTACAGTCCGTATCCCGAACACCCCGGGGTAAGGGTAACTTCAGCAGTGTAAAAGTAAAATTCGTGTTTTTTTTTTTTTTTTAATTTCAAACGTGTTTTCGAAATTACATTCATATATCCGAATACTCACCGGTATTTGGCAGGGTTCATCCGTAACTTGGGGAGGGGAGGGATGGTTTTTACACCGCTGGCGGGCAATCGGCTGCAACAAAATAAATAATATAAATGATCCACTATTAAAACAACTTTCTACCACCATTTTGATTTGAATTTTGACATTTGTCATTTCTGACGGTCATGTCAGTGATTGGATTCGTGTTGTTTTGCGAAAATGCACCCAACAACTAATGGTCGTAGGAAAAGTATAGTATGCAACACGTACGGTAAACTTTTTAACTCACTCGTTTATTAAAAACTCGATCCGCTACTCTAAACTACTAAACTCAGGCTCATACTCACACCGGCAGTCCGTCTATGGAATTCTATCGTAAAAACAATAGTAGAAACTCTTGTAGCTCACGATCCTTGGGCATCACTATTATCAATTGCTGGATTTTCACGCGATGGGTTTTAAAATTAGATATGTAGAGTGGACAAAAACATTGCCATTGCGTCTGATAAATAAATAAATTATGAATACACAACCCTATAGTATAAACCGTCTAGAGGAAGTTTGTTTATGTTTAGCATCAGCATTATTGGGCATATTTACCATGTCTATAATTATAAATTGCAGTTTTTTATAACATTAAACGATATTTGTCTATTTCATGCAATTTTGGAAATATTCTTTTTATAACGAACAACTGCTTCGGAAGTGCAAAACGAGATAAGTTACACTTCGACCAGAAATATAGTGCTTTTACAACCGACCCTGTCATTAACTTTGCCAACTGGTGATTGCTCCAAAACCGCGGCGATTTATGGAGCACCCGGCCCAGCGGACCCTTACCCGTAATTATTCCAGGACCGTCCTAGGAATTTATCTACCTACACTAACCAGCGGGATGTAAGTATGTTTTCATTACATTTCTCCATAGTATCATTACTAATATACGAAATATTACATATAAAGTTGTTGTTGTTGTTTACAAATAGAAGAACTATGTAAAAGACACAAAAATACAAGAAGAATGTAAGATAAATAGTGAAAACGGCCTCGTAGGGTCAAAGTTCGAGAATCAGGTACTTAAATACGCACTTACTGGAAGGATCACAGTCAAATACCTCCGTAATATATATCATCTGATGCTAAAAGTACGCTCCTACTTATTTACGTTTCAAATAAAAGTTTCTAGAAATATTCGTTACGGTCCACCAGAATAAACATCTGTTGGGGTGGGTTTTACCGCGGTCCTGCGAAGGTCTGCGCTTAAGGTAATGAAAAATACCTAATGCACTATATTTTTGGCCGCATTATACCTGTTGGTTTGATTTACTTTTTGTAGTTTACTTTCCTACAATTTTAATTTTCTTGCAATGTGATGAGTTTCAGGCCTAGAATTCTACGGACCTGGATCTCCTGCCGCTGACTTTTTTCCCCTCGAAGGTGCGTCCGCCGTCGCACGGAAACGTTAAAACGTTGGTTGGTCGTCGCGGTCGGCTTGTGAATTTATTAAAAAAGTGTACACTGTATCATACGTCATCTGGCAGACGTCTTTTATCCCCGCCATGGGAAAAATGCTTCGATATCCCTATACGCAAAAAATGAGACCGCAGTAATTTCAACAACTATAGACTCATTAAGTATCAAATAAACTTTACTTAGAATTCCGACACGTTTTTTTTTTTTTGGAGAATAGGTCGGTAGAGACAGCTACTTTTGAATTTGTCGACGGGACGTTGAAGGCCTTGGAGGGTGGTGCGGCCTTTTTCTAGCCCTTTCCGAGACTTTCGAGTCGATCTTCTAACTAAACTTCGCAAATTTGCCAGGTTACACAAAGATAATTTTTATGGATTTTCAAATAATTTCATTGATTTCGAAAAATAACTAATAGTTTACAAATTATTAAAATTGAAAGTATATTTTAATATTTTTTCAAAAAAATAATAAAAATAAAAAAATCTTATTTTTATTTCATTTTTTCAAAATTCTCTTTCTAAACTTTTTCTTTGGACGTTAAAAAAAGAAATGACAACTTTTATGAGTACATTGTTATTGTATTACATAGGGAACGTCGATATCAGCAACTATAACTCCATAAATTTGAAAAATAGCGTGATATTTCTTGGATATGGGCGCTTGCAGACATTTTAAATAGAATAATTTTGTCCATATTAAATTATTGTTAAATTATTACATCAAATGGTTCTCAATACCAACAAAAATGAAATTGATAACACTGAAATAAACCTAAACATAACATAAGAAACCTAAACATAACATAAGAATATTATTTTACTAAGAACAATTTTCACCATACTGCCGTTGCTGTTGCTTTTTACAATATACTGCTAAAAAATATAAAATGTTTTACTCCTCTAAAGCAATTCAGACCAAATGTTTTTTGAGTCATATCTATCTATCAACAGAGCAATTTATGGCGTGTTTGGATTTAGAACCTGTAAACATTCCCTTTAACGTTAATGTTTAGCACTTGAATGAATCTAATCTAATAAAGGAACTGAATGGCAAACGAACCAGTTTTTAAAGCAATAACAACGTATATTCACCGCAAACGTGTTACTCATATTTACATTTTTTCACCGTTCATATAAAAACACTTTCCATCACGCAATGACGTATTTTTTTTCTTCATAAAACTCACTATTTTCTAATACCAAACAAAGAACAAAACATAGAACAAAGATGTTGTTACTTACGGGTAGTCCAATTCTAAAAAAGTAAAATATATAGGGTTATACTTTATAAAGTTAATTCTAACTTATGTTTTTATTAAATTTAAAGTACGCAGTATCTTTTACTATACAGGGTCACCACTTATTTGACCTTTTTGCCAAAAATCTCCAGTGTATTTGAAGATATTAACAAATGTCAATGATAAAAAAATATCTTTAACACCCTATCTATTAAGATCAGAGCGTTCAAGAAAATCCCATTGTTTTCGCCACAAGTATATTAAAAAGACCAAAACTTTGCAGAAGAGCACTTAATAATACTAATAACACAAAAGTTGACGTAAGATTCATAACTAACCAAAACTATAGAATAGAAAGCGCTGTTCTAGTTCTAGTTGATTTCAACAATAATTTAATATAAATAAATAAATACAAAATTGTTGATGATTTCATTTTAATTGCTATTGTTATATTATTGTACATTCTTGAGAATCGGCTTTACTTATCAACGTGTATTTCCTTTTCTTCTTTAAAGGCTGAATGTGCTTGTGCATGCGTGAGAATAAGTTATATATTATTATTATCAAATCTAGACGAATTACAGTTTTCCGTTTTGCTCTACTTGCTGACGGGATACGTTTTTCGTCACGGCGGTTAGGTAGCGCACGCATTATACCCGAACGCCGACAAAATATCAAAAAATATAATTTGGGGAGCAACGAAGGTCGCCGAGACGGACGGGTAACGCGGTGACGTCACAAATCATCGATGTCGTGGCATTACACGCCCTACGTGGTCAGGTTCGTATTTACTGGTTCGAAAAATGATTTTGGTAACGCTCACTTATACCTGCCGAATATGTTAGACAGAAGAAGAAAAAACACGGTGAACAACGTTGTAATTGTTTCGTTTTGGTTAGTAAAAGTTTTATGTTATATATTGGTGGAATTGGTATTAAATTTACACTGGTCTTTATATAAGAGGAAGAGCGATAGCGAAACGATCGGTAATGTCAGAATTTGATATTGAAAGACGAAGATAAGAAAGATCCACCCGCTATCAACAACACCTCTTACTTAACCACTCCGACAATTTTTTTTATTGGTATAATTTATAAAATTAAACGCTTATAACATTTTAGAAGTGCCAAGACTAGGTAGTCAAAGCATGCAATGTTTTATCTACGAAGAAGGCGGACAAATATCGAGGAGGCTCGAGTACAAGAAATTAACCTCTTACGAAACGCCATTGAAAGAAGCAAGAAAATCCAGGAAGAAAGAAATAAAATTATGTGAATTACAAAAAAAAAGGGCAATAATTCAAAAACATATTTTATTTGTTATAAAAGCATATTTGCTATTTGGTTCCTCTCCTCATTTCCACTTTCACCTACAATTTCTCCTTGCGGCTACTAGCACCTCATCTAAATATATCAAACGTCTCGCTGTTCCAAAACGGGCTAGATGTTGTGGTAAATCCTAAAATAGACCCCTCTTATAATAACTTTACGAATGTAGGACTCGAAAATATTCTAAGGATAAGTTCCCTTCGTAACTCCTTACAGTCTTCGTAATACTTCTGATGTTTCGTTATTGGACACCTACCACCTTCATTATCCTCAAATATTCCAACTGGTTCTGCTGATTCCAAAGTCGTTTGACCAAATTATTAATATGTCCACAGCGTCCGATTCTACCATTCCGATTCTGGTAGGTACTAGAGTACAAAGATGTCCGAAACGTGCTAGATGTTGTGGTAAATCCTAAAATAAACCTCTTATAGTAACTTTACGAATGTAGGACTCGAAAATATTATAAGGATAAGTTCCCTTCGTAACTCCTTACAGTCTTCGTAATACTTCTGATTTTTCGTTATTGGACACCTACCACCTTCATTATCCTCAAATATTCCAACTGGTTCCGCTGATTCCAAAGTCGTTTGACCAAATTATTAATATGTCCACAGCGTCCGATTCTACCATTCCGATTCTGGTAGGTACTAGAGTACAAAGATGTCTCTACTTTATTAACATTTGTTAAATCAGCAGCACTACACACAAACACTGAATAAGATATACCTTCGAAAAAATCTAAATCTCAATATCAACAACACCCAAAACAAAAATACGAAACCATAACCTCTACATATTTGACACGTTCCCAATCGCAATCGCTACCGCACACCAGAGAATATAATTCGATTTTAGGCTATAACACAGTTTGTTGTTTGCCACAGTTTACATAGAATTGGTTAGCAGAAGCTAGAACAAAACGAAATGACGTGGTCTAAGATTTACTTTTAAGAGTTTGTTATAGGTTAAGTTACTAGCTTCAAAGAAGCGACAACTCCGCGTTCAACACCAGTGTGCTTGGATCCGAAAATTGAATATTCCATCTGTTTATCATATTCAGGGAATAAAGAAACGGACAAGACGGTTCAACTCCAATTACGTGCGGGACCGGTGCGAAATTGCCGAACCCGCACCGTGCAGTTTCCAACAAGTTATGCGGTAATGTCAAAAATTTGGGTTGGCAACGTCGGCCGCACCTCACCGCTCGACGGAAAGCGTATGGGGGTCGGGGAAAAGGGGTACCGATTAGCATTTATAATGAGACCCGACGCGTTCGACCTTCCGAGGACACGAACGCCGCTTCCCCGCGAACCGCGCACAACCAATTCTCGTCCTCCTGCCCCGCCCCGCGCCGCCGAACCGACGCTTCACGACGATTCGAGTTGCCACGGACAGATCCTCGGGCAAACGGCGCGTTTACGCGATTATCTCGGTTGGCTGCGAAGATGGCTCGTCCGGTTCGACGTCAGCGGCGGCGAGAGAAAAAACAAAGAAAAAGAGGAATAAATTCCGCAGCGGATATCCACTAGCGCGACCGTGATCTACAGAATAAACTAATATTCCGAGGAAACGCGGCTAGAAATTTGAACGAAGACAGTAATCTTAAAATTATGCAAAATACAAAACTTCCTAGTGTATCTCTCTTTATTTCAAATTCAAAAAAGCTAAAAAGGAAATATTAGAGAAGAATTTTTTAAACACTTTGGACATTTCCTTTAACCACACAATAACTTCGCTTTCAATTTACCCGTCATTGCATCTTTTGGATCATTTTCGATTGGCATGGCACAAACTAAACAGATGCGCATAAAACCGCACATTATGAAACAAAATAATAGTAAATAAAACAGATGTTCTTCTTGAAAGACATAAGTAAATTAACGAAATAAAAACCCAACTTTCAGTCTTTGAGAGATTCGGTGTAAATCGATAATAAAGACGGAAATACTCATTTTTAATGTCGAACACAGAAGATGGGCGCATTGAGTACAAATAATAACAGTAAGTCGGTCAAATGGCCCTGGTAGATTCGCCCGATGACTACGTGGATACGTTTTATTGCGTCAGCTATTTCACGGTGTCTAGTATACAGCATTAGTTAATTCTATGTTGAAACGTATTGATATCGCTTTATATTAACTAGATTTGGCTTTTTTTTAAGTTTTGTAAACGTTTTGAAAGTATAAGTGTGCTCAATCTGAACGTTGGACGGGTCTGTTTTTTTTCATAGGTTCAAAGTACATTGGTACAATGTGTGTCCGAAAGGTCCTAAAACTTCGACAATGGGCGAGTGTCCTGAGTAGGCAAGCCCACTTTAAAAATAATTCTATGGTCCAGTAATGTACGGTTCGCGAAACTAACCTAAAAGCGCCGAACAAGAACGCAAGGACCGCCGATATCACCGATAAGTAACACAAGGCACAAGTAACGTTTTCAGTTCGGAAATCTAGCAACGGGTTTTGTTTAACCAAAGACGGACGGGCTAAAAATAAAAATCGGACGCCGCTGGTAATACGTAACGGGACGTTGTACTCCGCCGCTTTAGGTTGCGTTGTCGGGTCGATGATGGAACAACAAATTCACACGTAAACGCCGTCGACCGTTTGCAAATCCGTTCGGCTCACCGCGATATCCTTGCTTTGTTATACTATGATGATCGGTTTATTTGGAGCGGTTTCTCGATTCGTTAGATTCCAAGTCGATTGAGGTAGGATGATGCACGGGACCGCTGCCGCCTTCAATTTTTGCACGAAGCGTACACGTAGCTTTCATTCAAATCGGGTTTCGAATCCAACAGGGCGTGATCGACGACCGGGAAAAAATTTAATCAGGCGGATTCTTTTTTTTTGCCTTAACCTTGATGCGGGAACGAGGAAGTGTTGAAAATTGGTAACGAGATTTTTTTTTGGCGAGCGTCCTTGTCGACGCCTTTTAGCCATATCATCTTGAAATAGTTTTGGCAATACCGACTTGGGTCGGTGACAATTATTTTTTGCCATTCGCCGAATTTTTCTAAATATCCGGTGCACTTTATTGTATTAAATAAATCTACAACACTCGCACTTCGAGTCGGGACGAATGTCGTCACCCACTGATTAATTTTAGTTAGTTAGTTAGTTAGGTAACACACCATATTGCAAAACATCACAACCACTGAACTAGAAGTTTAAATGTCTCTCGGCGAAAAGGGTAAAGTCTGTTCATAGATATAAGAATTAAGGAAAGACCCGGGCAAGCTGTAAGAATGAAATATGGCCGTACTTTGGTTAGAATTTAATTATTTGCGGTTTTGTTAGGAAAGATACTAAACAATATTTATTTATTTATGTATCTATTAATGTTAAATCTAAAATAAAATTACAAATTATTTTTATTACCTACTTAAATTACTTAATACACAATTTTCCCTGAATTTAAATTCCGAAACTTTGAGTAATAATCTTGTTAATGTTAATGGGAAATCCCATTCAAAAGCAATTGGTCACTTTGTTATATCAATGAACAGACCATATCCCTACGTTTTTATTTCTGTATTTGTCTAGGAGTACTTAAAGTATTTTGCCTATTACAACCCCAGAAAGTATACTAGAAGCATATCACTCCTTTCAAGGATGCTAAATTGGCGAAAAACCATTTTACCCATAATGACTTCGACAATAAATCAATCGCCAACGTTGTTTACCAATATGTCAAACACAAACATATTTTTATTTGTCAGTCACGGCGCTCTTTGAAATTATGTAAAAATTTCCTATTTTTGCCGATTCATCAGAAAATTGATAGTGCTGTGATTTATACGTCACTTGGTAAAACCTTGACTACTAACCCTACGTTTCGTTTTTTGTTTACCTTGATATCTCGAAAAACAAAAAAGTTACAGCCAATTAAAATGTTATCCAAACACACGGTTCCTACATACAAATCAACTCTAAATTAAAAAAAAAATGGAAAGCTCCGAGCGCAATTCTACCTACATAACATATTTTCGTACTTATTGCGCTAGTAATTTCAATTTAAAACCACGTCGATGTTGCTAGTTTAATAAGCACTGTAAATTCAAACTTTACCGCAAAATCGACTGACGAATTTGGAATACGTATTTTCCATGTTAATACACGGCCTTTCCTTGTTACGGAACCAAAGACCACCTTGTGCCTTGTTGCGCTCGAGCCGCATTTCGAAGAGAAAAAAAATCGACTCAGGAATGCCGCAGGAAATCGAGGACCCACCCATCGAGAGCGCGGTTATCTATCCTACTACGGGTAATTTGCATGTTAACAAATACCTTCTCGAGACCGAACGGGTCGGATACATTGAGCCGCAACCGTTTTGTATGTGGAATGTCGTTTTTTTTTTTTTAATTTTTGCACTCGCCATTGTGTCACGTTAAGTTAAGCGTCGACGAAACTTTAATTGCCTGACGGTAATTTTATAATTGCCCTACGTACATCAAAACGCAAACGATTTTCCTCTATGGCGTTGCGTACGAACAAAGCGCACCGAAGCTCGAAAAAAATCCACAGAACTGACACCGAAGAGCCGGCGGTGGGGGTAAGGTCAAGGCCCTTGGTCACGTGTCCGACCCCAAGGTCATCGTCAGGTACAACGGCACTTCAATCGCCACCATAGATCCGCCACCAACGCGACACAACCGGCGGACGAGCCGAAAAGAGACGGAACATAAAAACCGATAGAAAAGCGGCTATCGCGTTTCTGTTTCGCCCCGACCGCAATTATTACTGTCGTCGCGGATCGTATTGTTTCAACGACCAGACCGGAGTGAGTACGTCTGAGTGAGACGACTACTGGGTGCCGACCGGCCAAAGTGCGAGAGATATTTCGGCCCGGGGAGCGTGTTTCCGATGCGGGACCGGACGGCAAGGTGAAAATTCGACCAGGCTCGGCTCCCGCACGCAAACCCTTCTTGCCCTCTTGCACTTGCTTCTAAATGTCCGGTTTCCCTAAAATACAATCTGCCGCAGACGAGGACCGCAATGAGTTACCGATACTGCCACACTGAACTTATAATTCCGGGATGCGTGTTACCGATCGGTGGACGGTCACACTCGTACTTTCCATAGCGGTTGTACTGGGTTTGAATAGTCGGATGGTTCGCTAGCGTATTATCGGTGGTATCCGAGACGATTCTGATCGCGGGGTACACTCTGGGACGCGAATAGAACGACTTAAACACACCAAACTTAATCATCTAAAATCGAGTGATATTAAAGCCGACCCTGTCGAGTCACGTGACGACCGACCAAGGCGCGACCTTCAGGTTGTGTACAGTACACTCACCGTACCTGTCACTCTGTTCATTTTCGTGCGCCCGCTATACAAATCGGAATTCATTGAAATAATTGAATTATCCGTAACACGGTCTATTACGCGGCTAACGCATGCCGAACAAAAAATCGAAAATAACACCCACCCCGTCTATACGACAATATTTCGTAACACCTAGGACTCAAAAAAAAAAACTCACCGATATCAATGAAACAATTTGGGCCACTCGCTACCATTGCCTGTCGAAAATCTGGTGCCAAAATCAACGAAACGAACCGCGTTAAGTAATATCAATTTTCACTTTCACAACCACTTGATTTGTTCCTTGGCACACCTATACCGAGAGTTTATTGACTTTGTCAGGTAAAAAACAAATTTCCGAGATGCATTTCGTTTCGACGATATCACACGCGTTAAGTCCCGTATAAAACAATTTCATTTTTCACATAAAACGCGAGGATTTTTAGCGCTGCGCTAAAATCGAATAGAACGCCGAGAATGCTTAAAAGAAAATAAAAACACACAAAAGAACAGCCACAGACTGATGGCTTCAAAACAATAATGCAAAATGTAAATTAATTTCTGCAGGTGCGACATCTCCCGGTAAAACCCTTTTATTAATCAGTGCAATGAGAATTGCATAAACAAAATGCTCGAATTTCATTTACATATTAGAATAATAAGCTCTGTTTTGCGGCTAGCATGTTTTTGTATTATTTTTAAACGTATTAATCTGGTAATTCATTTAATGGACACTTAGTCCTTGAAAAAATCGAAAGCTGTGAAGGCGGCAACTGGGTATACAACTAATGAATATACAGTCCGTGTCAAAAGTATTCCGTCAATACCACTTGGAGTTGTAGATTGTCGTTAACTGTGGTATTCATGACAAGACCGATGGTTGCTAGATAGAAACAAAGTTGGATTTTGAAACACGAAAGTTACAAATCCTAAATAAAATAATTAAATACACATGCGGTAAACTGCAACATAAGTGGGTCAGTACTTCCTGCCGCGTCGTTTTGTGTTTTTGCCTTACAACATAAAGAAGAGTATTGGGCCAATTTTGTGTTACCTTGAAATTTAATAAACAAGCATTCGGTTTATCTGTCGTAATTAATGTGATGTGATGAACAGCGTACAAAACAAAACTTAAGTTAGCGATATCGTTCACAAAATGAGATCAGGAGCCAAAAATACTTTGCTTAAGGTGGTCATTTTGGGTGACGGTGGAGTAGGCAAAAGTTGCTTAATGAACAGATTTGTATCGAATCAGTTCGACGAGCATTCCTTCCATACTATTGGCGTCGAATTTCTGAACAAAGATATTGAAATTGATGGCGAAACTTACACCTTGCAGGTTAGTATTGCGGTGCACTTTCTTATATAAAGTTAAGCAAGTTATGGGTGTAGATTTGGGACACGGCAGGACAGGAGCGTTTCAAAACTTTGAGGACTCCATTTTACCGGGGCAGCGACATTTGTATGCTCACATACGCGATAGACGATAAGTTGAGCTTCAAAAATGTAGATATGTGGAAGAAGGAATTCTTATATTATGCCGATGTCAAAGAAACTAGCCATTTTCCTTTCATAGTGGTTGGAAACAAGTCTGACGTAACCGGCGACGAACGCGAAGTGTCCCAACTCGAAATGGAAACTTGGTGCAACGAAAACGGTATAACTTCGTGCATTGAAACATCGGCAAAAAATGCAAGCAATGTCCACGAAGCATTTAAAATGGCGGTTCAGCACTGGTTACGGATAGAATCGCGGGCTGATAAAAATACCACCATTGTTAACGATACAGTGGATTTGACGAAAAGGCAAAATCAAAACAGAAATTCCTGCTGCATGGGAGGCACTGATGAGCAATAGCTACTTTCGTACAGGAATTGAACGATACTGGCATTATAGAAGAGTAAGTTTGGTTGTTAGTCTGCACAACGCGCATTTTGTGGTAACAAATAAGTAGAATTCGGTCTTTTTGTGTTTATTTCAATTTTTACACTGTAGTGTCACGATACAGGTAACATATGGTAAAACGTGTTAAAGCAGGTTGTTATCAGAGGGCGACTTACTTAAGGCTGAAATTGTAATTGGAACATTCCAATACAAGAATAAAGTGCCGAATTATCCTCCTCCGCATTCCCAAGTATTTTTAATAGTATTGTATCCAACCTGCCTGTTTTCCAAGGTTATATAGTATTAAATTCCCTCGTTGGATCATCTTTATTTATTTTATAACTGATAACTGAGATATTAATTTTGTTAGATCTCAAGTGTACTCTATACCAAATTTTAGAGTTCCTTAATATTGCTTTGGCGTGCAAGCTAAAGCTAAAATTTTTAAATTCTCAGCGCTGCTAATATTATTCGCACTCATTGTACATAGGACGGGCTTCGGGTCTCACCTTACGACTTATTTTTGGAATAATCATTTGTATAAATGTACATTTTTAGCTTTTGTACGCGTCAATGTGTGTGAGAACCAAATCGCAATTGTTGAGTAAATATTTATTTATTAATTTCATTCTTTTATTTGCGATCACCTGTGTCCTCTTAGATACAAATCCTTGAGATTGAACTTACTCCATTGCGTCCTAATGTGTTACTACAAACATATTAGGTACAAATGAACTACTAGGGTAGTTCATTTGTACTAAATCTTGATCCTTTTAATTCATGGTGTAATAATGGGTTTGGTTATAAGGAAAACGAAAACGCAGGCGAAGGTAATATTTAATGCAAATTTGTTTATACAACGTTCAGTCGTTATACATAATACACTTCGAGCGCAAAGAAACGTAAAGAACCCCAATAGAATGGCGGCTCTCCTGTGAGCGCGAGCTAATGGCGTAAACATATACATGTATACATATACATTTATAACAGCGTTTATGAGCGGTAAAAATATATATCCAGCGAGACGATATGATTTTGCAGATGATATTTTTGCGAACACGATTACACAATATAAAAAAAATACCCGAGCGCGCACAACTTTCAGCGTTTTTTCGGGCAATTTCAAAACAACGGGGCGCATCGCCGCATTCCGCCGCTCCTCTTTTGAAGCCGGCCGATAAACTCGAAATAAATTACAAAAAAAAAAAACGTAAATATATATATATAAAAGGTCTATAAAATATTTTAAACTTTGCTATCCGTATGTTACAAATAGGTTTCACGACTATGTTCTACTTTTAGGGCTAAATGTTAGTGTGCAGGGTACTTGACGACATTGACGTGGAATTGAAAGGCTGATTTTTCGGCGACAATTATGGAGTCACTTTTAGTTTAAATGAAACTGTTTAATTTAGAAAAATAAAACGAGATATTATTTTTTATGTAAAAAAACACCAAACCACCAATTTTATCTGAAAAAAGTGAAGGTGCAAAAAAGTTGTAGGTCCTCTTTAAATAAAGTTTATTAAAAAATATTATATTTTTTCGCCCGTCGCTACCTTATCCCAAAGCGTCATTCCATTTTAATTTCTTACAATTTCCGCCGACGAATCGCGCCTTAACACATTCCGCATCATTATCAAGACACCCTGTATATGTGAGCGCGGTATGTACAAAAATGTCCCCGACGGGTTGGAAAAATTGTTGGCACAGGGAGAATCAGCCCTAGACAATTTCGCAACAATAGAAAAACGAACGGATCGTTGGGAGAAAGCTCCCGGTTCCATTTCAAAAGACACATACATACACGAGTCAACAAATTGTGCTAAGCCACATAATAAAAAAATACGCCGCTTCGATCGCTCCCACCCTTTGATCTTCGACAGGTCAGCTTAATAATTAATGGCCGTAAAAAGTTTCACAGCGTTCGACGTAAATACGGGGGGGGGGGCGGCAAGAAGGGGGACAAATAGTTACGACCTCGTCGGTGTCTCCCTTTTTTGCAGTCCTCCGTAGATGTGAACTATCTATAAAAAAAAAACTGATAACGCCTACCGACTTAATGTACACATTACTAGACGCCGGCGACGGCGGCGTCTAAGTATCGAACACGGTCGTTTCGATGTAGGACGTCGGCACGAAACCCTCTTCGAATTCGCCGTTCATCCGCCTCACCCGCGTCCAACCGTCGCCCTGATCGAGCTCGATTAGGTGCAGCTCCTCGAACTGGGCCATCGGGATGCTGCCTTCGCTCGTCGCTGCAAGCGAAACAAAAGTGGCCGCGCGTTAAACGCGTCCCCGCCGCGTGACGTACTGCGGCCCACGCCGATGTAACTACAGTAGAACCGCGATTTACAGTGGAGTTCGGATATATAAACCCGTTTATTGTGAACATTTTTTGAAAAGACAAATGTAAATTTTATAGTGAACGTCAAGATTAAGATACATTTTTCATGAACTTTTTAGGGGGTTCCCCCGGTAAGGCCCTGGGGAAAGGTTAAAATACTGTTGTATTGTTATTATTTTGAACTCAGTTGTGATTTAGATTTGGTGGAGAATATTGGTGGCAGATGTTCAAAAACGAAAAGCATTAATTTTGAAAGAAAAATACGTTATGCAAAAAATTGAAAGTTGTATGAAAGAAAATGATATTTGGCGTGAAGTGAATTTGCCCATCGTCCAGTGAATGGACGTCAATAAGGGACTTTTACAGTGCTTTACCCAAAAAAGAAAAGAAAATGTTTCAATAAGCGGTCCAGTTCTTCAGCAAAGAGATTTTGTGTGTTCCAGAAGTTGGATTGAACGTTTTAAGAAGAGAAATTGTAATCTCTGGAGGAAAAATTGTTGATGAGTCTGGCTCAGAACGGTTTGCCCTGCAAACCGACCTCTGATCAGACATTGAAAGTCCAAGGAGAAAGGTATGCAGGTCGAAAATTATCCAAGGTTCGAATAATAGTTCTGGTTGCTGCAAACATATCTGGGGCAGAAAATAGAAAGGTGTTGGCAAATCAGTAAACCCAAGATGATTTAAACCAAGACCCTACCTGTCAAGTACAGGTCAAACAGCAAAGCGGGGACGACATCTGACTTATTTATTGTAAAGCTGGTCTAGTAGATAATAGTCCAACACATTCCAATGTGCGGTTGAACCAAATCAAACTGGGTTTTACCAGTTCAAAACTGCAGCCCATGGATCAAGACATAATCCATTCGCTGTCACTATAGGAAGATTTTGCTGATAAAGATGATAGAAGCAATTGATGATGGACAAGAGTTTTCAGTGAGCTTACTGGATGCTGTAAATCTTATTCGCCGTGCTTGGCAGGAAGTTAGCAAAAACACTATTGCAGGATTCCTTGAAGCAGAAGATGATGGCTAAAGAAACATTCAGGAGATCCCAAAAATATCTACACCCAAAAAGCCCTTGAAGCAGAGATTAGGAAGAGGACTGACATTTCGACTTCGAAAGCTACGTCTCAATAGACGTACGTACGTACATGATATTATATATTATATAATAATCCCCAAACCTCGGCTACAGCGAACCAATTTTGATGCAACTTTCAACTTTCGAGTTCACTATATCTGGACTTCGCTGTATGCCAACTACGAACTGGCTGTAACACATGTTGCAAAAGCTATTTCTGAGAGGAAATCTGTAATCTAATCTCCTCTTCGAGAACTTGACGATGCCGTGACCGGGTGGTTCTTAGGGAAAAGAGCGAAAGGGGTGTGTGTCAGCTCAAAAGTTCAGCGATCGTAGAGAGGAAACTGGCCTTAACTGGAAAGGAATGCCGTTGCTGCAGGTTTAAAAAATAGTGCACCAGGTTGTTAAGGAATTTTTCATAGGTTTTAAAGTAATGAAAGACCATTTTATAGTATTGTGTTTGCTAATGTAAAAACAATGCTCGTTGATTATTATAATCAAAATTTAACTAACCAAAACTGTGATGTTGATGGACAATGCGTCTTCGTATCCTGATTATATTCAAATTCAGTGTCTTCAATTTTGTTTCTTGCATTTTTTACTGTGTTACTTATCATCAGTAAAGTTAAGTTGTGCAAAGAGAGTATACATTTAATTTCGTAAGCATCAATTCATTTAAAAATCATGCCTAATATGGACCCTACAAATATATAAATAAGCAAACAGCTTTCAAACATCAAAATTGTGTTTTTGATTGTCCGGCCCCAGATAATCCAGGTTCTACTGTATGGGGGCCGCGTCTGTTATATACGGTCGGTGTCCCCTCACCTTCGAACGCGTACAGCGCTTTGCAGTTGCCTATCGTGGGCAGCATGTCCGCCTCGTAGTACTCGCTCTCGGGATCGGCGACGTTGCCGTCGTATTGGTCGTGGTCCGAGTCCGCCCCCGTCGTCGGCAACGATGTCCGCGACGTTCCGATACCGCTTTCGGGACTATTGGAACAACTACATCAACAGGAAGGCGAAATGGGGACGATTAAACGTAAGCGAGATTCGATGAACCGAGACTGTCGCGAGTGTTAGGGTTAGAAAATCGTAACGGCGGCCGACGGGGACGTGGTTTGTGTTGGTTAGTTAGAGGTTTGATCGAATAAATTACGCCGTTGAATGAACAGGACACACGGTGATAATACATTTACGTATAATGAACGTTTTCCTTATCACAGACTAATTAAGTAAGCCATGACGATTTTATTAGTCTCGTTACCATGGAAACGTCAACAATAATTTTGTAACGTTTGTTGTCGACACCATTTTTAGAATGTTTTATTTATACAATTTTCCGTGTGAAAAGTGGAGGGGATTTTTCGAAACAAATTAGCTTTTGACAAAATTCAAAATGCAGCAAGCCCGAAAAGGTAAGTTTTAGTTAACCTTAAATAATTCTAGGTTCTTGTGAGTCATATTAAAAATATAGCCCAAAAAAGTATGTGTGGAATTTGTTAACATTGGTCTACGATGTGGCGTTTTGAATTTATTCACGGCAATATTATTTAATTATTAATATTAATTAACCTTAATTCCGAAAGTGTTACGAAATCATTTATTTAAAATACTGTAAATATTCGAGATTACGTTATTTTTAGAACGGTAACATTTGGCAAACCTTTTCAAAAATAAAATTTATTGATTATAGAGTCCTACCCCTAGTAGTGAAAAAGTCCAAATAAATGTTGTCCATAGTTGATCCTGTGCTACGGTATAAAACAATGTGCTATTTAGGCGAGTTATTCGTATTGGTGACAAAAACCCAATTTCTGACAGAATGGAGAGGCAACATCAACTGTTATTCATAACTTTGAACAGCAGCAGGTCCGCCACATAGAGATGAAGCATATTCCAAATGGGGAATAATTTTATATTAAATAAATATCCGCCATTTTGAAACCATAATTACCTACAAATGATTTACATATATTGGTTGCATTTAAAAACTTTTATGGGCTTTTAAAGTGGGTATTTTCATTTAAAAATTCTCTCATATGGGAGGCTCAATACTATAATGTAAAAATCGCACTGCTGTCATAAAATATTGGCCTTAAAATTCTATCTCGCCAAGTACCGCATCACACTTTAACCGATCTTCTACCTTGTTTATTTTTCTCGATTTCACAAAGTCTATTTTCAGAGCACCAATAATGCATATTTTTTCGATTATAATATTTTTTTTTCGATAATTTCGATAATAATATTTATTCATTTATTCTTATTATTTTCTAATAAAGAATTTTTACAATATTTAACGGTATTTGAAATAACCACATATCATTTCAAAAGTAAGCCAGGAAGCTAAGAAATGTTCAATATTGCCTGGGAATCGATAAAAAATCATCGATAAATTCGAATCGGTGCATCGCGGGCCAATGTTCGCACATATCATTGAGTTCGTCTTTAAAGGCCTATTCGAAAATGTAAAAAAAATGTTTTATGTTAAATATTTGTATAGGTAATTTCTAAATTTTCTAAATATTGGATATTGTCTGAGAAAAAGTATTATTCTGTAAAATATATTACTCACAAAAATGTTAATATGCAACGTAACAAAAACGTTTCCAATATAGCCTAAATCTCGCAGATATATTTGCAATATAAAGATACTTATATAAATCGTTGATGCTTCTTTTAAAGAGGTATTTAAAAAAGTAATAAAATATTGAAAATATTTTCAAATAATATAAAAGTATAAAATAATACAAAAAGTATTTTTTTATAGCACTCATTTGGAGATAATAATAATAATAATAATAATAATAATAATAATAATAATAATAATAATAATAATATGCGATTTCGAAGGAGATATCTTACAAAATATATAGTTGCTCCCGTGCAACCCCCTAAAATGACACTATTTATAAAACGAAACGTAGCATATTATATTAATTTAATTATAGAAATTTGTGAAATTGTGAAAAAAAAACATTTTAAATAATTTTAAGAGATAAGAAAAAGTAAATTAACACCGTACGTATTTAGAGTTTGATAATTACTAGCTTTATGATCGGTCTCTATCACGATAAATGTATTGTTTAACTTTTGTTTGAACGAAGTCAGTTGGAGAGGGAGTTTGTTGTTAGCCTCGATGGCATTATACGTGAAACTGCGCCGGAACTGCGCCGAAGTATGTTTGGGAACGGTAAACGGCCCCCCATGGCGAATATTAACCGAATGAATATCTGATCCACGAGTAAGTTTGCCAAAAAGATATGTCGGACGTCGGACGAGATATTACTTTTTGAATTAAGACTAAAAACGGCGACGCTAGGCTAGTAGATATGTGAGGCGGGCATTCTGAACGCGCTGAAGACTAACGTTGTCCTTTTGAAGTACGGCAGGCCATACATTATGACAGAGAGTTGCTGTGTCCAGTATATCTTTATTACAGTAGAGAATCCGAAGCTTGTAAAACGATTTTTGGATCAATGGAACCTTCAAAACGCGGACTATTATCCAAATGCAGACCCCGATTTTTGATTTTCGACGACCGGCGAGAGTACTTAAAAGAGATACGTACACCGTGTGCCAAATAAAACGAACAACTTTGTTATTTTAAATTGAACACCCTATATATTTCGATATTTTTGGAATCTTTGGTTCAAATAAAGGTCACTTTCCTAAGAAATTCCTATTCGAATTTTACAAAGTTTAGGCAGGAATTGAGGTTATGTGTTTCATATGTTGATTGCCTCATATAAAATTGTGTTGTGACGTTACTGACCCAGGTATGCAACGAAAATTTATCCACAGACTGAGGAGATCAGTTGGACAGATGCTTATACAGGGTGTCCCAAATAGAGTCGAGATAAGATATAGTAAGTCTTTCAGTATACACTTTCCAAACTCACCCGTGATTCAGCTGAGGGGTGCCCGGGGCGCTCCTCTTGTTGTGGTTCAGCGTGGGGTTCGTCACGCTGCTGTCGCTCGCCGACCGACTCAGCGACTCCTCCTCGGCGGCGCTGCCGCCCGAGTTACGGTGCCGCCTCGAGCCGTTCAACAGCCTCGGCGAGCCCGCCACCGAGTTGTTCTGCGATTGGATACCCTTGAGCGCGTCGTCGAGGTAACCGTGGTACCGCACCAGGTCCTGCTGGAGCTTCTCCAGCCGGTGATTGCACTCGTTCAATTGGCTTTCGATCGTGCGCGGATCGCCCAGCGCGGGATTCATCTCGTACACGCCCTTCATCTTCATGAGGCCGTCCCGAGCGGCCGTCTCCTGCCCCACCTTGGTCTTCAGTTCGTCCACCTTCTGCATCAGCTTTTTCCGTCGCTGGTTCGGCGGCAACTCGCTGAGGTCCTCCTTGCCGCCGTCAATGGTCGCGTTCTGCGGACGAACCGACAAAACACTTTTTCACATTGCGGCACGATTAAAAAAAATCTCCCTCCCCCCTCCCGATATCAATTCAAAATGCGGAAAAACGCACACTAAACTTTTTTCAAAAAAAAAAAAAACAACGCGATTAAATAATGAAAAAAAGAAACAAACAAACATTAATTGTTGTCGGTACGATTTGCGATGGCATAATCGGTCATAAAATCAAGAGAGTAGGTGCGCCTCACCTGCTTACCTGCTCCATTCGTATACTAAGAATTACCACCTTTGTCCTACCTTCGTCGTATACTCCACAGAGATAGCACCAATTATCGCATAATTACCGTAGTTTTCACTACAAAATAGGGTCCCCCAAACTCAAAAAATGTGTACCAAAAGAAGAGAAAAGAAGAAATTGGCTGCGCAGTAAGCGGTTTAATTAACCAAAAAATTTGAGTTGTAAACTTGGAGTGTGCTACAGGCGAAATAATTGCCAAAATGGGTCGTAAAGTTTTAAGATTGCCTCCTTACCGTTGTACATTTAAAGTCACAGAATTGGTGTGGGTTCAGTGCAAAATATTTTTTAATAAAAATTTGGTATAGTTCGCCGAACGATATACGGTTTTTACGGCATAATCCCGCATTTAACTTTGGTAAATTTTTATGAAGGTCTAGCCGCGCTTGGGTTTCTATTTGTAGCTCTCAATACCTTCCAGAACGGTACTTCGGTATTTCGTGCACACAAATGCTGAAAGCTGATGGATTTGTATAGAGTTTAATCGGTGAGATTGCTCGATTTTTATTAGTCCAGGCAGTGAAAATGTTAGGAGATTTATAAAAAAAAAGTAATTCAACATCAAAATCATCACCAGGCCATCCAGAAGACAATTACCAAAGAAAATTGGTTCAGTTCTACAACACATACGGAAAATATAATAAAAGCATACTGCTAAAAAGAGAATACCACTTGTTATTAATGTATACGAAGGATCAATTTCTGGTACAGATATATCGTTTATTTCTATATTTACTCTTAGCAAATTATATTTTATACGGTACGGATATATATTTTTTAATTTTACGATATTTTTGTATCGCCCTGCACGGAGAGAGTTTTCGGACAATCGTTTATTTACCAAACTATCCGATTTTTTCACCTACTTGGGCGTATTAGTGAAATTAACAAATGCCAAGTGCAACTGATTCTGTTTCGTATCATCACAAATCGTACCGACTATAACAACAAATTAATAAGAAATGAGGGAAAAAAAGAAGAGGAAAAATATATACCTACGGGAGGTGGTGTGCCAACTATGGTTTAATTGGTGAACAAAACCTGTGACTAATAAAACAAAATAAAAAGGAACAGGAAAAAAAGATTAATATTTTGGCAGCGAGATGCAAAAAAAACGAAACGAAAGCCGGGTGCCAATAAAAACTAACTAGGCGAGAGAAGTAAACGAGACGCACAACGGAGGGGGCAGCACATACCTTTATGGCCAAACAGACTTCTGCAAGCTTCTGTACGCATGAAAACAATACAAAAGCGATCATTAGCGTTTCATTCGGCGCTCGCGGACTTTTCCGCAAAAGTAGATTCGGTTCAAATAAGTGACGCCTAAACATCGCGGTCAACGTTAAAGCGCAAAAAAAACCATGCAGCCTATTTCAACCCGCTACTTACTATTTTAAGGTCGAGTGAAAACGCAGAGCCGGGCACGGCAATCGTCGACCGCGAAGAAAGGGGAGGCGAATAAAATCGTAGAAAAAACCAATGTTAGTTAAACTAGAACACTGGCGGACGCAATACACTCATTCAGAAAATTTTAGCAACAGAATTTTGTTTTTTAATTTATTATCATATATCGTTTAATTACTAACTACTGAAAACGAATTTTTTTTGTAAAATTAATTTTTATTTTCGAGCAACTCCGTATAAAACTCTAATCAAAGGTTATGTTATATTACGAGTTTTATGTTCTCATATATTGTATCAACCCATTTTGTCCCAGTGGTGCGTCAATGCACGACCTATTCTATGATTTTTATTATATATTTATGATTTACTTACTTCATGCTTTGTAAAATATCACCAAAAATGAAACCGGGTGTTACCAGTGAATGCGCTCAAGCATCATAAAATATTATGCACTTTTTTGTATCAAATCGGGTTCTGTTTCGAAAACAATCTACTTTTAGTTGTTTTCTGTCGAATTTGAACTTTCTTTTGTATATTTACGTATAAATTATATGTTACATCTTATGTGCTCCAATGTAATGTATTTTTTTATTTGTTTTTTATGGTTGGGATAATATGGGTTAAGGAAAGTTTTAAAAATAAAAAAAGACCCCCCCTGTACAGAAACACCGCTCTTTTAATGGAATTATATGGATGACTTTTAAACCACTATAAGTTAAGGTTAGGTGGAACTTTTTATGTCACCATAAAAACGATGTTGAGAAGGACCATTCAACATGCGCATGCCCGGTCATTTCTCATCTCTTTCTCAGGCAATAACACTGCCCGTTAAACATTCCACTTTTAACCAAATACCTGGGGGCGTTCAATAACCAACGTGGCCGCTGACAATTCGACAGTTTTGAGTTTACATGTTTTTACACTCAAAATATGCACAGACACCGCTAAAGAAAGAAAACGGCGCAAAATGCAGGTCATATGGTCGCATTATTCATCGAAATATACAACTTTTATCCCATTTTGGAAAAAGTGGGTCACTTTGTTTTATCCGCACAAATACCAAAATACCAACTCCAAAAAAAAAAAAAAAAAAAATCAAATCAAAACACCTACCCCCCGGCCTCCGAAAATGTTAAATATGCCCGCCCTCTTCTTCATGGCTTTGCCGGTGATGGTGCCCTTGACGGTGTAGCCGCCGTCCTTCAGTCGGCCCCCGATCTGAATGTTGTTGATGTTGTTCGCGCTGCCCGCGTCGCTGCCCCCTTTCGATAGATCCTCGAAGGGAAAATCGTCGGGCGGCTGGAAGCCCGACTTGTATTTTTCTATCACCAGCAACGTGTCCTGCAAAAGGACGAACATGGACGTCCACTCAAAATACGTAAAGGGTGTGATTCTTATTTATAGAAATATAATATAAATATAGAAAATATAGTACTAAGAATATTAGCAGAAGCTTTGTTGTGACCTGAAATCGCTGCGCATGCTCCTAGGACAACAGGGGGGTCATACGAAATTTGTTTAATTTGTGAGTGGGATAGTCGGGCAAGAGATAGACATTGGACTCAAATAGAATGGCGTTCTAGAACAAGCCTTGCACCTGGTAGTAAAAAATTTACTAAGAGATCGATTAGTTGACCTCAAAAAATTTTTGCTGCCTCCTCTTCATCTACAGTGTTTCAAATATTGGTGCTAGAAGATTATGCAATGACAAGGATTTTCAAAACACAATGACCAATGTTGAGAAAAACGCCTTTTAAAGAAGTAATTGATAAGTTTCTTGGAAACTTTAAGGACGAAAACTACGAAAGTATTGTTCAAAATATGTTACAACACTTTCATCGTCTAGGTTGTAACATGAGTAACAGGGAGAGACGTTTCACCATGGAGCGGCAATACCGAGGCAGATGAAGCGGAACTGCTGGATGTTAAAACGGGATATGCCCTTAAAAAGACACAAGCCAATGTCCGGACAACGTAGCTTTCTAGCAAAAAGCCGAACATTTCACTGAAAAAAAGTCTAAGTAAAGTTTTCACTTTTTTTGACTAGGATTCCACTTTTTTACTTAATAAAAAATAAATTATTTTAGAAATACCGTTTTTTTCCTTTAATATTTGCAAAAAATCTTACGCGATACAAATAAATGCACAGAATCAGTCTATCAAAATTAGATAAAATCAGGTTTCAAAATAAAAACACCTGTCAAAAAGTTTAACTTAAAATCTAAGGGGAGATTTTTACGACATAATGATTATCATATTCTGGAACAAGTCAGTATGATTCTCTAAATTCTTTACAGAAAATAGTGGCCGGTGCCCTCTTGGGATGAAGGCTCAAAACATATTTCTATGTATCATGTTTTCTTAAACTTTTCCGTTTTTTGGTGTTTCAAGAGGAAATTTAAAGATATTTTGGAACCCTTTACATAAAAAGTTCCACTTAGTTTGTAATCAGGTGCCTTAGATTCAATTGTCTCGTTTCGCACTGTCTCTAAACTAAGTTTAAAATATATTTAATAATAATAATAACAGCCTTTATTAAAATACAACAAAAATAATATACCACAATACAACGTAGTAGAATATTCAGAATATAACAAGAAAAAAAAACTAATAAATCACTTCAAACAAATCAAACAAATCAAAAAAAGAAAGAAAGACAAAAAATAGACACTGGAAATTGCGAGGGCAATATTCAAAAACGACTGAAAGAAAATAAAAGAAAAACAATAATCAAAAAAAAAAAAAAAAGGCGGTTCAGAATCTCCTTAATCCCACCAGCTCTTTTAATTTCTTTTTAAATGTAGGAGTTGATGAACAATTAATAATATCCAGTGTAAGTGAATTGTAAGTTTTAAGTTTAACTCGAAACGGAAAATGATAAACTAGACTAACCTCCTTTTCGTCGATCACGTCGGCCGCTTTGAGGATGCCGTCCAAACACTTATTGATAATAGGAAACACGTTTTTCTCGATATCGACCGAGCCCCGTATAAAGTTTTTGATGTTTTTGATGCGCTTCTCGTCGAGTTCCTGCAACTGCCGGAACACCTCCGGCAATCCGGACCGGAAATGCTGCCGCTGCAGATCATTGGTCCGCTGCAGCTGTACCGCGTATTCGTTCTTCGCCTGGTCGCACGCTTGCGTCTTTTGCGCCATATTGGACCGATGTTTCTCCACCTTTCGACAAAAAAAAAACAATCGGATCGTGGAGAGGTTAGAAAAAACGCTCGTACCTCGGCCCTGGAAAGGTTAAAGTCCGCGTCGGCCTTTTGGAAGCCCTCGATCGCCTTCTCCGCTTCCTTGAACGCCTTGTCGTACGCCTTCTTCGACCGTTGCAGGTTCTCTATTTGCGCTTGGAGCGTCTGCGACAGCCTCTGCCCCTCCTGTAGCTGTTTCTGAAAGGAATCACGCACAACCGCGGTAACCGCGCTTCCTGATCGTCCCCACACCCCTTCCCTAACACGTTGAGACTCGCGTGCCCACCGGTCGCCATTTCTACATTACTCCTCGGGACCAAATTTATATTTTGTTTGTGTTTGTTGTTAGTGCGTTTTTTAGTGACTTTTATTTATATTTTTCCCCATTTTTCCATTTTTTTTTGTCGTGACTCGCCGCTGGACGCACGGTCCCGGAATGTAAAATCACATCCTGGGACCGTGTATCCCCCGAGGGAGCACTACATCCGCCTATCATTTAATGTAAGCCATCAGAACGTTGGTGTTGATCCCGATGTCAGGGCTAAACTTACAGGAAAGAGTCCTGTAGAGTTTTTTACCACTTTTTTGATGATGAAATGATAGATCTATTTCTGCTTGAGACAAACAGATTTGTTGCTCAACGAATTGCTCCAGCGGCAGCTAACACGGCAGGCAGAGGAACCATTTTCCATCCATATTATGGATGGGGCTTCTTCTTCTTCTGCTTCTGATGAGAGACTATTGGACTATTGGACTAAAATCGTATACCTCAAATTATGAGCAGACATAGATTCGAAAATCTTTTAGGGAAGTTCCACGTGAGCGATAATGAAGCGCGAAGACCTCAAGATGATCGTCTTTACAAAACCACAAACTCCCTAAATCTGCTTGAAAATAAGTTGAAGTCGTCTTATATCCCTGAAGAAGAGGTATGCATCGATGAGAGCTACACTTGGGTTTTCAAAGAAAAAGATAGATGGCGTGAGAGGGTTGTAACAAGGCTTTTTCGATAGTGGCCGCACTCTGTATACACATGACTGGTATACAAGTGTATCATTATCTAAAAGACTTATTGACAGAGAAACCCACTTGGTGGGAAAATTAAGAGCAAAATCGAAAGGGAAATCCTCAGGACGTATTCAAGGCTAGGTTGAAAAACGGAGAAACTCTAGGAAAGCAGAATGAAGATAAAACTTTAGTACTGAAGTGGAAGGACAAGAGAGAAGTTATGATGCTTACGATCCATTTCTAAGAAGGACTCTAAAATGGTATAAGCGTCCTCAATTCCACCTTGATGCCCCACATCTTTTCCAGAAAATTAACAATAAAATTCAAAGAAACAGTGGTCATGGACCTTATTGAAGCTCCAGAGTTGGAGTCCATCCACCTCACGAGAAGGTAGAAATAGTAACACGTATTAATTGATTGCTTCCAGAAGAATGTAGTGTAGACGTAAAAGTTATACTTCGATGTTAACTTTTTAATGTTTTTTGTTACCAAAGTGTTATCGTATTCTTTTACTTCTTATAGAGGAAGGTTCCTATGTTTTTTGTAGTTAGTATTTGTATAAAAAGTTTCGTGTTTAGGTAGTTTTTGTATTTTTAAGAAAAAAACTTTTTTTGTGTTCGAATTGTTCAACCAAATGTTTATCTTTTAAGTAAAACTGATTGTTTTATTTGCATTTTTATAATATTTTCAAAATTACCTGAACGTCCTGAACTGCTCAACCCGATATTTTTTCTTTACTTTATGAGACCAAGCAATCACTTTGTATACGCGATTCATCTAGTTGCTCATAACACAAAATGCCCATCCGCGGGCGCGCGAGTCTCGAACGTGCTAAATACCTTTCGCTCTTCCCGCAGGTCTTTCACCAGATGCGTAAGCTCTTTGATCACCTTCTCCTGGAGGTTTTCGGCGACGACCTCGTGCTGTCCCGCCAAATCGTTGATCTCCTGCATGAGGTCCTTGAAGGCGGTGCACGACGTAAATCTGTCGTACCGAACCGATAAGTTTTGGTTTGTTTCGAAAAACGAGGAACGGTGACAAAAAAATATGTCCACCCAAGCGTTCGACTTAATCGAAAAGTCAGAAAAATATTCCCATAACAATAGATAATAAGATTGATTTCGAAAAATCGTCTACAAAGTTTTACTACACATCGTTGTATTTCAAAGAATTTTTTTTCCTAGAGAGACGCATTGTTATTCTATCGTGCTCTTGTGAACCACTATGAAACTTTCCCAAAATCGATTTAAGTTTATTGTGCATACACCATGTATAAAGTCTCGTCGAACTTCCGGCCAACTTCGATACATATAAAAATTTGTACTGGTAATAGCGATTTCCAATGATATTTTTCCAAGTATCTCGCGCACCCTGTATGATAGACGAAACCTGAAACTCTCTCTCTCTCCACAATTTTATACGGCTACTAATTTACGGACGAAAACGGCAATTTCCAGAGTTTTTTTTTTATTTTTTGCCCGTAATCGATACACCAGGTACATATTTTTCCAATAAAGGAAACGGTTTTCGAGAAAATACTTGTTTTCTGACGTAGATTGAGGGCGAGAAATGGTGATATTTGAAAAAAGTTAAATACAAAAATTCTAGATATCGATGCGGTCTACAATACCATCTAAACCAATCGGCCATATTTTTTAGAAATTTTGATTTACGGCTAACAAGTTACTCTGGGAAAGAAAAACCCCTGTATATACTCGAAAAAATGCTTGAAATAAAAGTCTAGTACCAGACCTTCCGCGTCTCCTTGCAAAATATTTTGCCGATCAAGTTAAGAGTTTTCCAGAAATTTTGTTTTTTCTGGAATTCAAAATAACAAAAACAAAATTTTCAAAAATTTAAAAAAAATACTTGGCAAGTCTTGATTGCAAGCAGTTTCTACGGTGTAGATGTGGGTGTGGACTTTCACTATTTTTTTTTAGTTGAAAATTCAAATTTCAAAAATTCCAAAGGAACTGACAACTGAAACACAGCCTTCTAGTTATAGTCTTTAAAAGAAGATCCTATTTTTTAGTTTTTTGCAATTGCAGATGAAATTTTTTGAAAAATCTTATTCTTTATTATTTTTTAAACCGGATCTCGTGCGTCTTTTGGTTCAATTTTTTTTTTGATATTTTGATTGCAATCGTTTTTGAGAAATGAATTTTTTCGCGGATCATTGCAAAAGCGATTTTTATTATTTTTTTTAATACTTCCCGACCCCAAAACCCTTTCGGTTTCATTAGGCAATTAAACTCTATACCTGTGCCAAGTTTGAACTCGACAGCTTTAAATTTGGGACACTTATCTTGTTTCATAGCGATGTACGAAAAACATTGAAAAAATGTAAAAAAAAAAGATGAACTCCAAGCTCCGATCACGGCCTTTTCTTATCGAATTATGTGTCCCGTGGACTGTTTAAAAGCAGCTAAATTTCGGTTCCCTTGCTCAAACCGTTCGGAAGTTATTCGCGTTTTTATGGAGCGTCGTCAGAGAACGGAGAACAGACAAAAAATAAAAACGTTAATTAATTAATTAATTTTAATTTGTTACTAAAAGTGAAAATAAACTTGTTTCACATAATTGTCACCGTCAAGTTTAGCTTGTACATTAAAATTTGGGGAGTTTCCGAAGAAAACTAACGGGACAGCCTTTCACTTTTTGATAAATCTCGTTACCGAACCTCAAATGGTGTCAAATAAGATTATTATAAATTTTCGATGTTGTTTGATCGAGAAATAATTATATGTCAATCATTTTGGCAAGAATATGAATTATTAAACAACTACAACACCCCCATTCTTCCATTTATATAAATGCGCAAGAGAAAGACAATTAATACAGTCGACTTTTTCTATTGTAAATTTTGCCTCAAAGCCGCGTGCTGTTCCATTTCATTATACATCGAGTTCGCCGCTTCGAAACTGAAGAACTCCATAAACTTTTTCGATTTAAATCGATCAAAGACGGCGATTTTTTTTTTGCGAAAAGGGTAATGGATTTGATATGTCTACAAGTCTACGAGGTCATGTACGGGACGCGTTGGTTGACATTTGAAGACCGATTGATCTCGGATAACAATAATGCGCCATTAGCTGTATCTACGCGTTAAAACAAAATCGAATTAATAAACTTGTTTGTGCGACAACAAAGCCTTTATATACGCGGAAAATGGAAAACTTTCCGGCAATTCACCGACCCGCAATACACGCAACTATCTAGTGTGCGGAAAATCTACGGAGATTCAAAACTGATCGCGGATGCCGACCTTGAAACTGCAGATACACTTAATTTTTTACGATCGATCGCGAAACCGCATCTTAAGCAAAACCAAATGCTTCACGTAAAACATAAAATCGGCGACACGCGGCAGCTAATTAAAGCAAATAGACCGCGAATAACATCGTACGCGTTCGATGGTCTCGGGAATTAAAACGATTTATACCAGAATGACCGTAAAATTTCGCGGGTGTACGCGCAGCCAAGCAATTCCGGTACTATAACGACCCGCAGACAGAGGCGAATTCCAAAAACTTCGAAAACCTTATATCCCGGCAACGGGAGGTCCTAGGGGACCCCCATTAGTACACTTTTTTTTTTTAATTTTCTGTTCTCCGTTGTCCGTTTCTCTGTAGATCTTAGCATTAATTGACTATATCTTCTAAACGGTTAGCAACACGGCCTTCAAATTTGGCTCCTTTGAAGCCGTGCACAGGCTACACAAACCAATAAAAAATGAGTCCCACCACCCCACGCATCCATTTATTTTTTTAGATTTTCGATTGTTTTTTAGACATTGCTATGAAACACGATAAGTGGTCGAAATTTGAAGCCATCCACATGAAATTTGACACGCATATAGAGTTTAGCACCGTAACAGAGCCTATTGAAACTGGAGGGGGCTGGGGGGGTTGGGAAGTAATTTTAAAAATTTAAAAACCGCATTTGCAGAGTATCGGGAAAAAAATCATTTCTGCAAGACGGTACGTAAGATCGACAAAAATTCGTGAACCAAATGACGCGCAAGGTCCGAACAAAAAAAAATTATTCTTGCTGATTTTTTAAAAATGTACAGGGTGCGTCGGTAATTTGCAAAAAACTGAAAATTGGACTCCCTTTGTAAAGATAATTGACTAGAAGGCTGTGATTCTATTGTCAGTTGTATAGCCTGGACACCTAAAACTTTTGTAATTAAAGTTTTCACATATTGTACAGGCTGTTCGGGATATTCTGTGTTATATTAAAACATGTAGTAGATATCTCAAATTTGCTCAGAATAACGTTCCTGTATCTTATTTATTGCGATAAAAATTACAAATTGCAGCCATTTTTCAAAACAATTGCAGTATTTTTTTTATGAAAGGTAAAAAGGGAAAAAGTGAAAATTGTTTGAAGAAAATGCATCGAAAGTGTATGGTTCTACATTTTACAAATTTTGACGAAAATCGCGAACAAAAAGACGGAGGCCAATGTTTGATCGCGGCTATTTTTTATCGGTTCACGTGTCTCATGGAGGGTTAAAAAGGAGAATGATCTCAATTTCGTAGCCCAAACCGTTCAAAATAAGACATATTTTTTCGACGCTAACCAAAACTAATCAAGAAAAGTCGTGTTTACATTCGAAAAATTCGATTTTATCGATTTTTCAAAAGCGACAAGCTCCCAGACTGACAAAAATGTATATAATTTTTGTAGCGGCGTTTCTAGTGTTGAAAACGTTCACAGAGATTTTCGACTCCCAATCATCGTCCGATAGCTTCGGAGGGGAAAAAAATTCAAAATCTCCAGGCGGACGAGTAAAAAGTAACAAAAATGTCGGACGTTAATAGTAATATTGGTTACTTCTTCAACCCCCCTCCCTCACGGGGGAGTATTTCGAGATAACTAAAATGCAGATTCCTAACCAAAGTTTCGCCGCTCGCCGACAGATGGCAGGTCACGTTTTTTTTTTTGTTAGGGTCTGCAATTTATTTATTCTAAGATCCCCTACTACTCGCGTTGTACGAGCGCAAGTAAAAAAAAGTTGCAAATATTTTACTTTCAACGCGACCGTTTTACAATCGCCGCAATATCGTCGTAACAACATTATAGCGGATAATGCAAAATGTAACGGGGTTGGGTAATACCCATGCGAACGCAACCGCGAGAATTCCATAATTATATTATTGAACATTCGAAAAGGCGACTCTATATAATCGCAATTTCCCGGGAATATACGGTTGCCAATTGTCGACTCGCAACGAAACACATCGCGCATCAATTTTTCGAAATTTTTGAAATTTTCTGAGATAATTAGTGCAGGCCTGATTCGAAATTAATAAGGCGTAATACGGGGAAATGAATTCGTCGGCATGCGAAGCGAACTAATTAACAATACGTTCAAAACTTTCACGAAAAATTACAATTTACCATCTATGCGGTGATTAATTTATAAATTGCTTTCCTTTTTTTTTAATTAAATGCAAACAAAATTAGCGATTAATCATAATTCAGTTATAAATTACTATACATACAACTCGAACGGAACCCGAAATTCTACGAGTTTTTAAATAAACAGAAGTTGAACACGTTAATTTAAATTTAAAAGGCCACTCGAATTTTCATCTGTACTTACTGGTAGTCCTCCTCTTCCTTTTTTTTCGGCTGATAATTTTTCACCAGCCTCCTGAAATGAAAATAGAAAAATAAACGAACTTGCAAATAAATATCAAGACGGCATACTAAACATCGATTAAAATAAGTCACCTAAATATTAATTCAATTAAAACCGAATATTAAAAATATACAGTTAAAATGCGAGCATCCTCAAAACTTCAACTCCTATATATGGGAATTCAAATGAATAAAACTCTTAGAAGAACATTACGAAAAAATTAATGTTATTTTAAATAAAGCCAAAACTATTTCTTTATAATTAATATATATATATATATATATATATATATATATATATATATATATATATATATATATATATATATATATATATATATATATATATATATATATATATATATATATATATAATTTCCTGTCTTCTGCGGTTTTTAATAACTTCCTCCGTCTTTTCCGTTTTTAATAATTTCCTCCGTCTTTTGCGTTTTTAATAACTTCCGCTGTCTTTTGCGTTTTTAATAATTTCCTCTGTGCTTTGCGTTTTTAATAATTTCCTCTGTCTTTTGCGTTTTTAATAATTTCCTCTGTCCTTTGCGTTTTGAATAATTTCCTCTGTCTTTTGCGTTTTTAATAATTTCCTCTGTCTTTTGCGTTTTTAATAATTTCCTCCGACTTTTGCGTTTTTAATAATTTCCTCTGTCTTTTGCGTTTTTAATAATTTCCTCTGTCCTTTGCGTTTTTAATAATTTCCTCTGTCTTTTGCGTTTTTAATAATTTCCTCTGTCCTTTGCGTTTTTAATAATTTCCTCTGTCTTTTGCGTTTTTTATAATTTCCTCTATCCTTTGCATTTTTATAATTTCCTCTGTCCCCAAGCACGTCTTTCTTTTTTCATTTATTACTGAGTTTTCGTTTATTTTGTTTTCCAATTTTATCGATCAAAAAGAATAAAAAGTACACCTTAATTTTGTGACGAAGTAAAACCAAAATGTCAACAGAAAACAAGAACCTATCTCAAATATCTACAAAAACAGGAGAAGACTATGAAGAACGGAAAAGAAAACTTTTTTGTTTGCATCACGGACGACGACGTGAAAAGGGAAAGCTCGAAAGCATAAGCGCTATGCGTTACATAAAACAACACTTTTCGAATATAGATTAACGAAATTAACATATCGTTTAACAATATCGGAGAAATTTAACACTTGGTCCGACGACGTGTTACGTTATATCCCGATATAATGCAATTCAATCCGATTTAACAAATTACGTCAAAACGCGACTCCGTGGGCAGTAAAATGACCCGAGTGTGTGGAAATGAAAGATAAGAAATGTTACTAAATTATTAATAACAGTAACAGCAGGTGCGACGGCCCAAAAGAAAACTTCAAGAAAACGAACCGACATTCGCGGAGATGACACAAAACGTGGAATTCCAAGAAAAGTTCTATATTTAAAAGAACATATCCACCATATACCGAATTTTGATGGGCTTTAGACATGAGGTCAATATTCTTTTAATAAGTATAAAGCTGCTACAGAAAATCGTGAAGGACATGAATTCCCGCAATTTCATTTTACGTGAGAGCGTCTTACCTATATACACTTTACTTACAAGGGGACAAAATTCAATTCACAAAAATTGTTGACCATTTAACAAAGGAATATAAATAATATATGAAACGTATCGGGTTCTTTTTAGCGTGCGAATGGCAGTGGGCTTTCTTTTTTTCATTGTTACCATGAGTGCGGGACCACTGAACTCTTCAAAATTGTGTTTGCTTATTTTCGATGTCATTGTCTAAATTAATGGCGAATGCGCGGGGAATATATATATATATATATATATATATATATATATATATATATATATATATATATATATATATATATATATATATATATATATTTTAAATGACCTTCGTCCGTTTCATTATAAAGATTAAAAAAAAAAACAGAGTTGCTCAAGTTTTCATGATACGACTCGATCAAGAGGATACCTCATCCATGCGGAGATTGCAGAAGCATTTCGTCCGATCCTTTTTGTAATTCATCACATGTTTTTTTTTTTAAATTATTGTATTGTTGGTACGCCTAAAATAATACCTTCGAATTCTAATTGCCTCCCCTTCCAGGCGTTTCTTTGAAATTAAATGATAAATTCCCCTTAAAATATTTTTTTTTCTTAAACCCATATTTGCATTTTTTTATTATTTCCTATTCCTATTTCTTCCTTTTTTAACGGATTCACATAGTGGAGCACGGGCAAAGGCAATTCCCCGTGAGTAATTTTTTGTTTATTGGAGGCGATCCCGATATGGAAACAGTTAGAGTCGGAAAAACATTAGTTTTATCTAGCTTCACTTTTGGTTCAAACCAAACTTAATTTCGTAGTAACAAAACAACGTTTAACCTAAAAAAGAAGAAACGACTAGGAAATTGCTTATAAAGGACAGCCGGTAAAAAAAATATTGCTCGCACCTGGTACCACCATCTGCTACAATATGAAACAGTATCGCAATTGTTTTTTCTACTTGGATACTCATAAAATACGAAAAAATGTTTTGCTATATTTATAATGGATGTGGATTAATTTGATTTACGGAACAATAACCATGAAAAATCAAATCAAAATTGGGACAACTTAGTGGTTATGGCTTCATAATTTATAGGTCAGTTTTGAGTGTTTTTTAGACACCAAATATTTGCCAAAACAACTGCAACTACTGTTTCGCAAAGGCGTCGCAGAAAAGTTACTGTAAAACTTTAAAACACAAAATAGGTTTCGCCTTCCTAAATGGTACAAAAAGTGGTTCCTTCGTTGGTCTCCAAACTTACCCAATAGTGCTTGGAGCAAAATTCGGTAGAGGTACCTAAAAAAATGCAATACAATTGTGTTCCTAATGTTTTTTCAGGCACGTCAATTGGTAAGTCAATCGTCATTAACAATATTTTTTTATATTCTCAACTGAAAGTTAGTCTGATGCGAATGGTATAAGGGCTTGCTTAAAAAAAAATGTATAAGGTTGTTCGGAAAGTCATTTCGTTTTTTCCCGTCAGAGGACTTAATTGCGTTTTTTCGAAACCAACTTGACACTTAAGCCGCATAACCATTATATGTCTTGAGAGCTGATATTGTAAGGCTTGTGTGTGAAAAAGTTCTATTAATTCTACGCAGTAGTTTTTGGTTGGTGCCCTTTTAAATATGGAGAGCAATAGCAGCATTTTCGTCATATTTTACTTTTTTACTTCAGAAAAGGTAAAAATGCTGTCCAAGCGAGAAAAAAATTGACGGATGTGTATGGAGAAGGCGTGTTAACAGTCCGCCAGTGCCAGAACTGATTTGCAAAATTTCGATCTGGCAATTTTGATGTCGAAGATGCACCACGGTCTGGAAGGCCGGTCGAAGCTGACAAAGATGCGATAAAGGCATTAGTTGATGTAAATCGGCGAATAACCACACGAGAGATCGGTGAGAGATTAAATTTGTCGAATTCGACTGTTTATGGCCATTTGAAAGGCATGGGCTTAACCTCGAAGCTCGATGTGTGGGTGCCCCATGTCCTTACGGAGCGAAATTTGTGTCGTCGCGTTGACGTGTGTGATTCGCTCCTCAAACGTCAAGAAAATGATCCATTTTTGAAGCGGATTATTACTGGGGACGAAAAATGGGTCGTATACAACAATGTTAAACGCAAGAGGTCATGGAGCAGAAAAGATGAACCGGCTCAAAGCGTGGCAAAAGCCAACATTCACCAAAAAAAGGTGATGCTCTCCGTTTGGTGGGATGTCAAAGGAATCGTTTTTTTTGAGCTTTTGCCGGACAATACAACGATTAATTCAGAAGTTTATTGTCATCAACTGGACAAATTGAAGAGAAGAGGCCCGAATTAATCAATAGGAAGGGTGTAGCGTTCCACCAGGATAATGCGAGACCTCACACAAGTTTGGTCACTCGCCAAAAACTTTTACAGCTTGAATGGGACGTACTGCAACATCCACCATATTCTCCAGATCTGGCGCATTCCGACTACTATTTGTTCCGGTCCCTGCAAAATTTTTTGGATGGCAAAACCTTTACCTCAAATGAAGATGTCAAAAACCACCTGAACCAGTTTTTTGCCAGCAAGGACCAAAACTTTTATGAGAGGCGAATTATGTTACTGCCAGAAAGATGGCAAAGGGTGTTGGACCAGAAAGGCCAATATATAATTTAATAAAATATTTATTCATTATACGAAAACTGTCTTTCATGTTCCCCAAAAAAAACGAAATGACTTTCCGAACAACCCAATAGTTCAAGCAAAAGAAAGAATCGACAGGGTTATTTCGTATCTTATATATCAGTCAAATATTAGAACCGAGCCTTCTGGACTTCAGTGATTGCAAGCGCTAATAGCAGAAATTCTGATTACGAGAGTAATTTTGTCTATTGAAACGAAAACTAAGAGCATTCATGGATTTTATTTGGACACTCTCGGTTCGTTCCACGTAATTGTATTATATCACACTTCAATTCTCCATAACCCTTCTTAGCATACTGCAATATAATGTAATTAATGAAGCTAGGTTTCTAAAATAAATCCTAAATTGGCTACGCTTTCCCAAAGATAGCCTCTATCAAAGTCACCAGCATTTTTTTCTTTTTAAATTCCATCGTCTAATAAAACAATTCATTTCCAAAACATAATACTCGATATTACTCCGCTAGGTAAAGACAGAGAAGGCTGTGCCCTGTGTGTTTCCGGAAAATTTCAGCCGATGGTATTTTGACGTGTTCTTTTTTTTTGCAAAAATATTCCTAACAATTAATGGTGGTACGGTATGTTTTGTATAATAAGCTTTTCCAGTCGCCTGCACAATATATGTACCACATCAAGATCAGATCGAAACGCGTGCTGCTGCGCCGCTAAAGTTTTCATTAATCATTTAGCGATTTCAAGGTCCTGACAGGAACGGATGATTTCATATCACGACTTGACCGTAATTACGGCAATAAAATAAAAATTATCTACATAAAGAAATTCTTATAGGCGGTCGTATTCTTAGTATTACTGCGTTGCAATATATAAAACGATCTAATTCGAGCTTACAACTCGAAATATAAAAAAAAAACAATATATGTTCATATACAATTTAATTAACCAAAAAAATACATATATTATATTAATACTGCATATACTTGCAATAAAAATATGCATCAACAATGATGATTTCTTTTTGTTGGCCTTTTTGACGGGTAATTCAAAGTAAAAGGCGTAGGTCCAATATATTACGTATTATTATTATTTCTTTTTTTTTTTACGGCCCACGGTCGTCCGCCTACCGAAATATAATATACTGCGATGATTAATAAAAGCAACATTTTCTAGGTCCCTGACACGACAGTTTGGCAACTTTTTCGCAACTACGGCCTCTTTCGATAGAAACGAACCTCGTTCCCGCGATCTCGCGAAGGCAGTACCGCCAGTTTCGCCGGACGGGTTCCGCGCCGGCATAAATGGCGACGAGAAACGTTTTCGGACGAAGATGGTCGGACTCGGTGGTGGTAAAATGTCATTTTCCCGCCCTTTTTGTTTTTCCTACTGCGACCAACGGTTTAAGCTAAGATTAATTCTCGACGACTTTATCGCACGTACGCGATTTACTGTCCAACGTAAATTATTATACAACTATTCGGGTAATAACTTCAGCGGCGTGCCTAAAAGTGGTACCATTTTTAAAATACATACAATGGTTGTTCATTAATAATTGGAAATATATAAACTGTGCTCCAAATATTAAGATTGAACCCAAAAAACGTATTTAATACTGATTCACGGGGTGTTTTAATTTATCTTTGTCATACTTGTCATACTTGACAGAAACATTATTGGGTATAACAAGACCAAAAATATAATGCATTTATCGCTTTGGCGTTTTAAACATTGTTGTGTATTTGTTGTAACTGTAATAACATAAATCTATAACATAAAATAGTGTTTTCCAAGATTCAAAAATGCTGCGCTTCGTCCAAAGAACACTCTTTTTAAAACTTTAATTTGAAAACGAAAATTGTTTTCATGGTATCGACATTTTGTAGCTAGGTTTAATGACAACCAGATTTGCAACTGGTCCAAATCGCGTGATTAATAAAATACGAGAAACTGAATTCGATCGATCACCAATTTTAACAGATTAAGTTTACGTCACGCCTTGCGTGCGCAAATTAGAATTGGCGCCCCGGGCATAGCTGTGGCATAATATAATCCTATTTTAACCTTAATAAACGTATATCGGAATAAAAATAATCGATAACCGTTACGGCGGCTACGCCACTGTTTACCTGGAATTACAAGAACGATTGTTTATTGCAACTGAAATAAAAACAATTGCAATCTGCAGTAGGACCCACATTATCCGTGTCTTCTTCGGTACCAGATGCTACGGACGAGGCACAGATAATTGAAAAATACGGATAACACGCACAGTTCAAGTTCAAACTAACTTCCATATTGCATACAAATATAACCGAATAAAAAATGAAATTCTTTATAAAAACATATACAAAAAACCCTATACAGGTCTGTCAACTGGCATTTACACGAAGCGAGTATGTGTATGTAGTACGTATGAAAAGTTCTTTGGTCTGTGTTCAAAATCGCTCAAATCAAATTGTCCAAAAGGTTGGAATATTCTCGGAGCTTCTTCATCTTGTCGGTTGGTTACCCTTTTCACTGATACCCATCTTTTTCATCTATGCGCTAACGCTGTTATGATCCTTCCTTCATCGTCACTTTTCGTCCTTCAGCGTCAATATATTGTAAAATGCTCTTTTAAAAGTAATTTCTTTCACTCCTTCTTCTTCGTCTCGTGCCCTGTGCCGTTATACTTCTGCACTCTCTATATTATCATCAGATTGCAGCGGCATCTTCCCTTATGTAACACGTAGCACTTTGTTACGCCGAAGTGGCAGTGGAACAGAACGTTTAAATAAGGTGATCTTCGCCAGCCCTGTCCGTATCCTTATTTCTTCATCGCAGTCTCATTTTTGATTGAGGCTGGCACCAAGGTACACGCGACACCTGATCCAGATCTTGATCGTCAATCCTCACAGCCACTCAATATGTTCGCGGGTTATTGCCATAACTTTTTTATTGTGTTGAAGGGCCTCAGGAGAATTCCGCATACCGAATATTGTCAATATTGGCGGAGTCCTTTGGATATAGAAAATGTCTCTTTAATGAGTTCGTCGTTTATTTTTCTGACAATCAATAAAACATACAAACGGGTCCCGCCGTTGATCGTAGTATTTCTGTATAAGGAGTTTCATTGAAAAGAGAGCTTCTCTTGTACCCAGTCCCTTTGATAAAACCGAACTGGGTTTCTCCGCTCATTACTTCACATTTGGCATATATTCGGCTGTGAATGACTCGGAGGAAAATCTTCAGAGCATGGTTGCAAGTCTGTAGTCTCCACAGTTTCTAGGGGTACTTTCACTGCATTCAAAAAACTCATCAGAAGCTTCGTTTCGATAGAGACAGAAATACTTCAGTTTTTAACATGAAAACTCGAATGAGAAGAACAGAATTTGGAAGCTCTTTTTTTATTTTCCTGGCTTGTTTAATATTCCAAAGTATTAGAAAATGTTAATTTTTTTTATTTATAATGCGATTTTTAACTGTTTTTTTTTTTAGTAAAAAAATGTTTCACGACCATTAATTATACGAGAAACATTTTAATTTTGTCGCTAAAACGTGACTTTCGGACCATTTCGCCAATCTCTAGACGTGTTGCTCGCACCGAACGACAAATAAGGAATATCACCTTGAAAGAACTGCCCGCGAATTTCACTTCTGCGTAAAATTACTCACCAGACAGCGACCAACCTATACTTCTGTCGTTTATTATTTTTTCAGAATGGCGGCACGTCTGGATATAGCGGAAGGTCAACCAATATCGAGCATTACGTTTGCAGGCCGAACAATATCTGTAATTTTTTTCCCATATGGACTTACCCTGTAGAAGATGGACTGTTGGATAACAATTAAAACTATTCAATGATGATAATAAATAAAGATAAAATAAAACACTTAGGTAATGGATACACAATTAAAACGGGATAAACACTTAAAAACACTGGCAAACAATTTAAAGCCACTGATTTCCAAGTTCAAATATTTTAGAAACATTCTGAGTAAACGTTAAATGTTAACACTCAATTATGAGCAACAAAAAAAAATGGAAACTTTGCAAAAATGTTTCCTTAAAACAGTCTTTCAAAAAAATAGAAATTACTCTTCTGCGCAGCTGTTTATGAAGTCGAAACGTTTTACGATAAGGAATGGAACTGCAATGCAAGAAATATAAAAAAGAAATATTAACAAACAAATATTGGGAACAATTTACAGATATCATGCCTGCAAACGTCTTTTTTTTATACACGAAATAATGACTAGGATTTACGAGAGGATCCAGATCCATTTAACATAGGAAAGTTAACAACCACTGCGCTTGCGCGCCCACCAACAAATCTTCGAAATTTTGCTACCTTCGAACATATTTTTGAAAAAAAAAAAAAACAAACAAACTCACCGTAACTTGTAAGCGTACTCGGACTCTATAGCGGCCCTGTCCCGAAAAAAATGTCCGATCCTTTCCAGGTAATCTATCCCTTTCATCGTATGCGTCGACAGGTTATCGTATTGATCCTGGAAAAGAAAATATCACTTAACCGTTAAGACTTGAGTGAGCGAAATATTTTTATTAAGATTGTTCGCGGGATAGGACCGGATTTGACGCTTTTGCAATCTGCATGTGAATATTATTGGAATGCTCGAGTCGTGATTAATCTTTTGCATTGTCTCGTTTGTTGTTGCGTTAACTGGCCCGAAAAGTTAACGGATCGATAATTCAAAATGTCAAGTTTACCTCACGTTTATTATGAAATTTCATTGCGAGATAAAAAAAAAGTCGACATATGCCAGGGCGAGTTTCCGAAATTTTTCTATTCTACACAAAGTATACATTCAACTTTCCACATCACAGAAGATTCTTCACGCCGAATCCCACCAAAGAATGCCTTTTTTCTAGTCATCAAACTTTTTTCCTATTAACGAAGTTGCAGGATGCAATGTCAAACTAAAAGAACTTTGAAGTACTCAGGCGGAAATCAATGAAGAGGGACAGCATTGATAACGTCTGCTTTTATACACGAGACGGACCGACGATCCCTACAAAGGACCTTTTGGCTCTGTACGGCTCAAAACACACAAAATATATACGGAATTGATAGGAGTGATAGTGTGTTTTAGTCAGGTAGGAGTACTATTGAGCCTGTGTGACAACTTGTTGTAGTTCCATTGGGAGATTTTTCATTCTGGAGTAAATCTCCTTTAGCCCTCTTAGATTCGGCGTCGAGAAGAGATGCCTCGTCGCCGCAAATTGTCATTGGTCGTTTACATAATAACTATTTCAAAATTCATCGTCAAACTTTTCTCCGCATAAAAAATACATTACATCAAAAGAGTTTTCTATTTCTGTGCCGTTTTGGATGTTTGATGATAACAACTCGTAGAATCGCAGTCGGGCCTCCCAAATCAATACGAAATATTTATTTACGACGGACGTTAAGAGTTTTATTTGCAACTTCCGCCCTAACCGACATCTCTAAAAATACCTTTTCGCGCGTTTCTCTCAACGATCGTTCGTCTGGAATACACAAACAGCCGGGCGGGCCATCCAACGCCGTTCAAGGACGACCTCTGCGCCGATTTCGCTCGAGATCGGTGGCCAGGCACTTTTCGAAAATTACAAAACGCGAAAAAATTCATAAACGGAAAGCAACACGACCATGTTTGCGCATATGTTCGATAAAAGTCAGTATAATGTTCCACCAAAACCAAACATATCTTAAGTTATATTAAAATATCGTCAAAAATGCCGTTATCTGATGGGGAACAAAGTTCTTCTAGGAACGGATGTTGTGTATTTGTGACTCACATTTATTTTCTAATTAAAGAGACAGAAGTAAAGATTCTCATCAATTTTTCAAAAGAGTTTCCACAGGCTACATGTCATATGTCATAGTGGGGCGCTAGTGGTCTCGTTCAAGATGGGGTACTGTAAAGTTTTGCAGTGAGAGCTTCAATGTTGCGATCACCACGGCGTTCTGCGCGCAAACACGCATCTGCCCTTGGACTATCCGATCGTTCTGTGAGAAGAATTCTTCGTGATGATCTTCATTTTCATCCCTATAAGATGACGATAGTGCAGGAACTTACAGAACGTGACTTCAATTCTCGGATGAATGCGTGTGAGCTTCTCCCGAGGGTGCTATTGTTTTTTTTAGCGATGAAGCCCATTTTCATTTATGTGGGTCGGTTAACAAACAAAACATGCGCTACTGGGCTGACACCAACCCTCGACAATTGCATCAAAGGCCTTTGCATTCACCCAAAGTCACAGTGTGGTGTGCAATTTCCTCAGCTGGAATTATTGGTCCCTGGTTTTTTGAGGAAAATGAGGTTACAGTGACAGTGAATTCGGACCGGTATGTAAACATGCTACAGAATTTTTTTTTCCCACGGCTAGAAGAGTTGGATTTGGGGGACACTTGGTTCCAACAAGACGGTGCAACAGCACACACTTCAAGAGCATCGATGGCTGTTTTGAGGGAACACTTTCCAGAGCGCCTTATCTCAATTAGAGGCGATTTGGAATGGCCGGCACGCTCTCCCGATCTGTCCCCTTGTGATTTTTTTCTATGGGGTTTTTTGAAATCCCTGGTTTATGTGAACCGTCCAAGAACCCTACAAGATTTGAAGACCAACATCGAAGAAGAAATTGCCAACATAACACCGGCTATGCTAACAAGAGTCATGACAAACGCCAGATATCGGTTTACGCAATGTATGGAGAATGAGGGACGTCACCTAACAGATTTGATCTTCAAAACAATGTAAATAAAAACTTTGGACATGTACCTACATTATAAAAAATAAATAAAGATTTTCCGATGCACGCAATAGTTTTTATTGAGTTTTGAAAAAAGGAAGTTATGCTGCCGCACCCTCTATTTGCAAAAGAGTTCGGTTGTTTGATCTACTGTTGGCGTACCGTCGACTAGGTTGGCAAGAGTGGTGTTTTCCCTCTAATTTTGGACCAGCTTAGCATTTTTAATAAAACTGGCAGATCTTTTTTTGTGTGACCGATTTCTTTTTTGAGCCGGTAGTGCTACCCCAATAAGAGGGGGAAATGTAAATTGGTCACTAATTTGTGATTTCCCATACAGGAATCGAGGGATTTTGAAAAAGAATTATCATTGCCCCAAATTTCCAGAAAATCCTCGAATCGAGGTAAGTTAGTTCTTGCAACCTAATCCTTTAATTTATGCCGATTTTATTTTACGTTTTTTTTTTCTTCCTCTTGTTCCGTTTTTTTCGCTAACCTTCCACGTGGTTTCTTCTTCCATCGGAATACCCGAGAGCTTCGCTAGAGTTGGGGTCTGGCAGAGTTTCCCCTGTCGAGTAACCGGCTTTCCTGGCGGACATTGCTGAGTTATCTGGGGCTGTCCACGTGCTAGAGTTCATTGAGCCACCACTCCATCTTGTGGTTTGGTTACCGGGATAATAACAGACAGCGGGGTAGCATCGAAAGAATCGAAATTTTGGTAGTTTAAATGCTGCGCCCTCCCATATATTCTTAATTTAAAGATAATTTGATTAATATTTCATAGTATGTTACCTACAATCTTTTGCAACGCCAAAACTTGACGGTGAGATTTGACGCGCTCACACCTACTTTCAGGTAGAGACTTTTTTATACCTTTCTGCTCCATTTACATTATTTACTGTCGTAACCCTTGCCCAAGCAGGAATTTGGAGGAAATAAATTGTTGTTCGTGATTCATTTGATTATTTCCTTTTCGGGTTGCAACCCTGTGTTGATAAGTTTACTTTTTTTGAGTCACGTGGCGCCTACCACCTTCCGGGACTGACTGAGGTGCCTTTCACCGCCTTCCAACTGCGGCTTCTATTTAGTAACGTTTTACTTTTTTATTTTTCTTGTTAGTGAGCTAGTCTGGGCATTGTCTTGCCTCACTAATAAATTTCAAATTTGATTAATTACTGCTTTTCCTTTTCACGATCCTGAGATTGAGAGGTATTGAGAGTATTACCAAATTTCCTAAAAAGATGAGTTTCTGCAAAGCGTTATCGCATTGTCTTGCCGGAAAACCCGAGAAACGGCAACATTCGTGTAGCTTTAAACTGGGAAATACGGTTTTATCGACGAGATCCGGAGCGCGGGGCGGTCCATGAACCGCGTCGCCGCCGCAAGACGTCCAAGTCGAGTAAATATTTATTTAAAGATTGGTCGCGGTAACAAGTGGGTCATGATGAGGAGACAATTATTATTTTCCGTGCCGCTTGTCGCCAGCGTCGCGCGTTGCCAAGAAATACCGGAACAATTTTTTGTCTCGCTCCTCAGATTTAGACAACTTGCAATTATTTTTCTATGACTTTGCTTGTATACACGTAACGTACGTATATATTAAATAGAACGTATATTTGAAAATTTGGCGGCAAACACAAGTCTTATTATACACCGATCAAACGTGCGGGAAGCGTCACTTTAACCACCTTAGTTTCGATTCCCACTGATCGGAGCTACTTGTAGGAGCAATTTCGTTTCTCAATTCTGACGGTCGTGCCATTGAATGCATCCCTGTTGTTTCAGTTAGTTTTGGTCAGTTGGTTTGCTCAACTTTTTAAATCGTTCGTTTATTAAAAACTCGCTCCGCTGGGCGCTGCACGGAAATAGAATTGAATCATCGGTTTAGTGACCTCAAAATATCCGAATGAAAGATCCTTACCAATATCGTTTAATTTTATACCACTTACTCTTATGTATTCTTAGCGTCCTTGAGGTTACGTCACGCCTTAGACGCAATCTACGAATAACTTAATTTCACAGAACTTGGAGGTCCTCTCTTCCAAGAAGGTGCTTTTGACATCCAGGTAGCGCCTTTAAATAAAACGAACTGACCCTTTCCATTAGCAACCACAAGCATCACTCCCATCTCACAAAACATCTATCAACTTTTTGCAGGTAATTTTTCTCTAGTCTAGTCGAGATTATTTTTAGGTGATTTTTGAGGTGCCTATGCGGTAGCGGAATAAAAGTAGAATAAAAAGAAAATTTGCAATTCATTCAAACGAGGAGGTCGAAACATCTAATCCAGTTCTGTAACCGTTGATGCTGGTCTGTAGCTGATACGATTTCAGTGGTCTGCAAACAAAATTTTTTTTTCTCTCATTCTTGTTTTCATGCACGAATCCATCTTATTTTATGCTCTAAACACGGAATCTGATATACAAATAAGCACCACACGTAGATTTTTAATTTAATATTTATTTCATCAAAAAACAATATTATTAAAGTATAAATTATTATAAGAAAATAAAAAAATGTGGCGGCTTGAGTTTTACAGTTAAAAATCCTAAATTATATTAACAAAACTCGATTGAGATTGTAGACCTGAAATATTTTTATTTTCAGCCTCCTCATTAACTGGTAGAACGGGAGGTGGAGTGTCTTTATCACGAATAATTGGTCTCTTTGCAGATAGGACGTTCGGATAAACAATCTTATCTCTATTTTTTTTCGAGAATCCTCGTGTAGATGTCATGAAGAAATAACAATAAAAAAC